AAAAAAAAGAAAAAAAGAATTACAATAAAAAAAAAAAGAAAAGAAAAAAAAATAAATAAATAAAATAAGATAAAAAAATATTTTTTAAAAAAAAATATGAGAAATAAGGATAAAATATTTAAAGGAAATAGAAGGAAAGCCTTGTTTTGGAGGCGAGTTGTGGCGGTGCTTCCATTTAATATTCTGGAAAAAAAAAGAAACCTATAGAAGGTAACGAAATTATTTCCCAATGTAAAGAAGATCCCATGGGGTGATACCAATTTCCAACAATAAAGTTACCTAAAATGCCAAGAAAATGAGAGGATTACAAATAAAGTTTAGATTAATTATTTATCTACCAAGCAGGTGAACGTGAAAATTTTTATTTCATTGCGCAATAAAATATTCGATAACGTAGTACGATTTTTAGCCCTCCCTCAAATCCATAAACTAAAGAAAGTTGCGACATATTTCTTCAAATGGAAAGTTTCACTAAAGATGGAAAACGCCGGGTGAGTCCAATTTTAAAATCATGGAATAATCTCGGAAAAGTAACAATGAATGATGAATCTCAAAATTTACCATTTATCGTAATGAATAACTTGGTGTAATATCATAACGTTCTCGTAATTTCCTTTCTGTGCTATTTAAAAATCCAAATATTTATTTTCATGACATAACATATTTTGCCGAATATAGACCAGTTATAAACTTGTACGATATAAATAATAATTTATAAGAAAGATTAAAAAAGATTATGAAAGAACCCAGAAATGTTGTCATGCTTTTTATTTTAAATTAAGTGCTTGAATAATGATTTATAGGTTATAATAATATATTGAATATATTTGATACGGTAATAATAATAATACTTAATATTATTATTATTTATTATTTACAAGTTTCAAGTGTAACTTGATGACACGTGTTACGATTCTGGTAATCCTGTCTCTTATACACATCTAGATGTGTATAAGAGACAGGGTTATAATAATATATTGAATATATTTGATACGGTAATAATAATAATACTTAATATTATTATTATTTATTATTTACAAGTTTCAAGTGTAACTTGATGACACGTGTTACGATTCTGGTAATCCGATAATCCACGCCAAGGTTTTTTTTATTGAAAAGAAATATGTCAAAAAAAAAAATTTTTTTTAAACAAAAAAAAAAAATTATTATAATAAAAAATAATAAATAAATAAATAAATAAAAAATATAAATATAGTATATATATATATATATTATATATATATAAAAATATATGTATATATATATATGTAATATGTAATATATTTATATATATATCATATATATATATTTATATTTATATACCACACCAAGTAAAACACGGACTTTACATACACAATACATATTTAGTAAGTATAACACTTTTTTTTTTTTTTTTTGAAATTCGAATATTCTGTTTTTCCCCAAATTTAAAATGATCATCCTTTGGCTCATTCACCGGACAATTTTAATTTAGTAACTCCGGATTTATCACTTTATCACGAATAATAAAATGATGACACAATACAACACAATACATATTTTTTAAGATGAACTGATGAAGATCTTAATTAAAAATATCCCTTCGGAGAAATTTATAGGAAGGACGGAATCGCGCTAAAATATTAATGCAGTAAATAAACAACAAATAGAATGATTTATGGAAGAATAGAATATATACAATATTAAACTTGTGATCAATTGATTTTTTAATTATAAATAAAAATGCAAAATTTTAATGCAAAATTATTTCCCTTGTTTTCTTAAAGGTACTTTTTGATTTGTAGGTTTTTCCGTTATATTTCCTGATTTAAATCCAGTTATTAAACTAATTAAATGCATTGTTTATTGTTTATCGTAAACAAATGCTTCAGCCCGTACACAAATTTCATATTTTCACACTTTTTTTTTACCCATGGATAAGGATCAGATGTTCCTTATAAAAAAAATACAGGTTGCATTAAAACGTTTCTAAAATATTTTAGCGTTGCCTAAAATTATCTTTTTAATCGTTTAAAATTGTTTAGACTTGTTAAAATTATCTTTTATATCTTGAAAGCTTTTTTTGTTTATAGAAATGAGGCGCATGCAGTAACATTTACACACATATATATATATTTCTTTTATGTACTCCCCCAAAAAAATGCATAATATAATCATCTTGCAGATGCCAGTATCTTGGTGTTTGGTTCACATAATTGGTTCAATCCAATTACCATAAAAGAAGTAATGGATTTCGTACTTTTTTTTTGTTTAAAAGAATATCATCATTCATAAATTTTATTACGTAATATATAAAATCTAATTTTATAATTTTTAAAAAAGATGAATTCTTTTTTTTTTAAATAGAAGATTTGTTTGTTGAGTTTTGTGTTTTTCCGAATTGCATAATATACAACACAATGTACTTACTACGTTAAGCAAGTTGTGTGGTGTCATATTATTCGAAATCTATAAAATTTAGTGTTATTGTTTATAGTGTTACAACTTTGATTATGAATAGAAAAAAAATAGATGAAACTTAGAATGATCTGTTTTTCTTTTCTTTTATACAAAGAATCCAAAAAAAGAAAATTTTATGGATCCTTTTTATATTTTACTATTTAAAATAAAAAGCGTAAGCGTACGATAATATTATTATTATTAATGTTACTATAAATTTCATTTTATTCTAGAAATTGTAATCCAAATTGGATTTACAAAAAAGTCACTATTCATTATATTTACAGTTCAAACTATATTGTATACTATTCCTTATCAGTATAAAAAATTTACCAAATTCGAAAGCTAAAAAATGATAAGCCACAATACTAAATCTAATTCTGCAATTCGGTAACTCTGTAACAAAATTACCGTGAAATATTTGAAACGAAGAAAGAAAACAAAAAAGGGTTTTCACTCCCTTTTCTATTTTCTTTTTGAGTTTGAAACTTCTCATGCTAGAACATTGATTAATTTGAATTCCAGTTTCGGTAAACGAAAATTCTATGAAATCTCCTAAAAATTTCATGTGTAAAATTTATCAAACTTTAACTAAAAAGGATAGTTTCATCTAATTTCCTATCTATTCTCCTTTGTTTATCTTTTCTTCTATTCCCCCCCTTTTTTTTTCTTTAAATAATAATTTTCCTATCGTCTTTTGAAATGAAGGATTTAATTTTAACCTTTACATAAATTTCATTTCCATTCCGCTTTTTTTCAATCACCTTTAAGATTTCTCTTTCTTTTTAAATTTATTTCATGATATTTAATAATATATATTTAATGATAATTTAATGATAATTTAATGATATTTATTGCTTCGATTCTCATTATTACCCAAATTAATTTTCATTGTTTCATGTGAGTATCTATATTGGGCATGTTATGACCTAATTACGGGTTACAGGTACCTAAATTATCGAAAATCATTCCCAAAATTATGTTAATTTTTTTTAATGTGTCCGTAATTTAAAATTTTCGATGTATCGATGTTGGAAGAAAATATTTGATATATCAAATTATTAATAGACCATAAAATGTGGGCCAGATTATTTTTTGTCGCTAATTCAGAATATTCTGACCTTTAATTAAGATGACGCAAATTTCAATTTTTATAAAGTGCTGCCAGTGTAACCTAAATATCGGTTCATGTTACTTAAATGCTATTACGTTTCATATATAATATCGGTACAATTTAAGTGGGACATGGAAAATTTATCGGTGCATGCAATTATCGGTACATAGGAATATAGGATATCGGTACATTTGAGGTTTTACTATAATAATAATAATAAAAAGGATTTAAAGGATAGAACATAACGTTATTTATGATTTTCAACTACATTACCTACCAGCTACCGCATCATTCAACCGCATCATTCAACCGCATCATCCACCGCATCATCCACCGCATCATCCACCGCATCATCCTTACCACAATAACCTACATAACCACTTTATCCAAGGTTCACATAATTCTAAATCATTCTTTTCAACATAATTTAATGTTATTTGACGTTCATTACCACTAATAGCATAAATTATAAGTAATATTCTATCAATTAACATTTTTCGTTGATAAAATAATGATATTAATACAATTAGAGTACCAAGTACTATTTTTAGATTATTCCTAATATATTTAATAACTCTATCAAGTTTAAAATCCATAATTCTTAACAATATATATATATATATATGAAATGTTGAGAAAAAATTTGGTACACAATTTTTTATATAATTTTGTGAAAGAATTTTTCAGAAAAGAAAAAGAAAAGAAATTATTATTTTTTTTTTTTCCTTTTATTATTCATACAGTTATATTTATACCCATTTGGTAATAATAGGTGGATTTAACCTAAAATCGTAAACTTCTTGAAGAAAAACAAGTTTTTAAAAATCATCTACTTTTAAAATAAATTTAAATTACGTCATCACTAATAAATAATGACACTACATACACATACAGTTTGAATGGCTTAAAAATGTGATAACTTTTTAAATAATTTTAGAAAACCCTTAAAAATGCGATAACTTTTAGAAAACCCAACATTTAGTTTACCAACGTATAATCATCATGGTAATCGTTTCAATATTCCACGTAGCCGATTCTTCAACCAAGTAGGTTTTTGTATGAGGTCCAAAGTATGTTTTAATTCAATGATTAGATTATCATCACCTCGAATAATATAATAATAAAGTATCACTCTCGCACGTAATGTATTTCTTCGATACCAAATATATGATGATGATAATATTATGAGAATTACTTTTAAAATTTTTATTATTTTTGGATTATTTCTAATAAATTCATTAATATGAGGTACATTTCTTATTGTATTTTCAATTCTATTTAACCATCTTTTAATATTGTCAATATAATCCATTATATTATTATATTGAATAAAAATAAAAGATTTTTTTTAAAAGAAAAAAAAAGATTTTTTTTTTTTCTTTCACAAGAATGTAAAAATGTAAAATCCGTTTATTTATACCCGTTGTAGATTGTTTCGGCCAAAAACTATAAATGGTAAAATTAAATTAAATTAGTGTGAATTCTGTGAGAAAACCAAAAGTTTTTTTTTTATATTACATAATTTAATTTTAAAATTTTAATAATCAATACTACGCTCTAACGTATTTACATTGTCATAAAATAATTCACAATATAAATTTTCGTTAACTATGAATTATGAATTTAGAAGCATCAGAGTTTAGAAAACCAACAGTTTTTACCAGTTTACATACAAAACGGCCAATGAGCCCAACGTTATTTACAACAATGGCGGAGAAACCCAATCCGGCAACCACCAGGGATTAGGTTTTAATAAGCGATCCAAGTTAAGTATTAACTGGTCGTCTCCTTCAATAACGTGACGCAAAAGTCTTATTCTCGCACGTAATGTATTTTTTCTAAACAACATATATGATAATAATGGTACTAAAATAATAGTAATAGTTATTGCTGTTCTTGGATAATTTCTAATAAGTACCCTAAAAAACCTTGCATGTCTCACTGTATCTTCAATTATATTGAACCATCTTCTAATAATGTCAAGAAAATCCATTATATTTATTATATTTGTTTTAACTCTATTTTAAATCGAATAAAAATTCTCTTTCAGATAAGAGAATTTTTTTTTTTTTTTTCAAAATGTAAAATTTTATCTTCGTTTATTTATAGATTATTTCAGCAAAAAATATAAATGGTAAAATTAACCTAAATTAGGGTGAATTCTTGATTAAAACCAAGTTTTTTTTATATTATATAATTAAATTCTAAAATTCTAATAATCAATACTATGCTCAAGTGTATTTACACTATCGTAAAATAATTCACGAGAACTTATAATATAAAATTTTGATAACTATGAATTATGAATTTAAAAGCACCAAAACCAACAGTTTTACCGGTTTAATACACAATCGGTCAATGAACCCACGTCATTTTTTTTAAGTAAAAACGTTACTTATAGCAATGACCAAGAAACCCAACGCGGCGACCACCACCGGGCGTTAGGTTTTAATAAACGATCTAACTTAAGTATTACCTTGTCATCACTAATAATAGCGTAATATATTATTAATATTCTCTCACGTAATGTTTTACGTCGATATAATACATATAATAATAAAATAGTAGCAACAAGTCTTTTTACTATTTTTGGATTATTCTTAATAAGTTCTAGAATTTGAGATTCTTTTAATAAATAATTTATAATATCGTTTATCATTATATATATTTGAAAATTGAACCGTTTTAAGAAATTTTTTTTTTTTGTATAATTAGGAAAAAAAATAATTTTATTTTTCAAAAATTTTAGAATTAATTATCCATTTATATATATATATGTTGTGCAATTATTTCGGTAAGGAAAGTATGTACGAGGAGACAATTATTCTAAATTAGGAGAATTCTTGATGAGAAACATGTTTTTCTAAAAAAGTTATTATAGTACTGCAATACTAATTTTTTAAGCTACAGATATGCGACTATTATGATGATGATGTTACGCCGATAATTTTATCTACAGGCCAACGTACCCACCAAAACCAACTTTTATCTTTAATAGTTTCAATTTCTCTAATTTCCAACCCATGTCTTAAAAGATAATTTAATGCAATTTGACGGTCATTACCAACAATAGCGTATGATATAAGTACTATTCTATCACGTAATAACCTTCGTTGATTATAAGATAATATTAAAGTAATAGTAATAATTGTTACTTTTAATGGATTATTTTCAACATATTCTTTAACCTTGTTAAAATAATCCATTGTATTTATTGTTTGAAGATTATATTATGAAGATTATATTACGAAGATTATATTATGAAGAAGGTTATATTTATTTATCATTTATTTATTTTGTTTTATTTTGGTTTGGTTTTTTTTTTTTAAAGTTGAAATAAAAAGAGAAAAAAGTGATTTTTTTCAGACAAAAGGATTTTTTTTATAGAATTTATTATTGTCCGTTTATTTATACTTCGTTGTAATACAAATCATTTCAGTAAAAAAATATATGGAATTAATCTAAATTAATGTGAATTCTTGATAAAAAACTAGTTTTTTTAATATTACCAATTCCGGAATTCCGTAGAAGTTTTTCATCGATCATCAACTATCATCACTAATAATTTTAAATTCCGCCTAAACCTAAAATCAGCCAAATTGATCGGCAGCCGCAGCCAAACGGAAACTCCGGTAGCTGTAAAAAATTACTAGTTGAATTCAATTGCTATTTGACATCATTTTGTGCCCTTTCAGGACATATTTATCACGCCACAGTAATATTGTGATTTTTGGATATATTAGTTATTGGACAGGGATGTTATTATGCATGTTTCATATAAGCTATTAATAATAAGTTTTACGTGACTTTAGATTAATAACAGTTGTATTGTGATTTTATGGATTTCGGATCCAAGACAAATGTTTTTTTCTACAAAAATATATAACGAGCTCCAATTGCACATGTATATTATTACTTTACTAGTGTATTAAGTTTTTAATGACCAAATCCAAATATACCTTAAATTTTTTAAATTTTCAAAAAAATTCTTTTTGTTAAATCTAATAATAACACATGATTTTAAAACTTTTTAGTAAAACTAAGCATTCTTTCAATAAAAATTAAATGTTCTTTTAATAAGATTAAAGAAAGAATCTCTCTTATTGATAATTTGAAATACTTCATATTCTTCTATCCTATTATTAACAATTTTCTTTTCGTAAGATATTTTGTTTGTTCATACCATAATAACTGTCATATCTTGGATTTTTCTGGTTCCATAAATCTTGTAAACCAGAAGTGACTCTGCTTAATATGGGAATTTCCATGAAAATAATGAAAATATAAAGCCATTTGGCGTTTGACATTTATGTTCAATATAAGGATCGTTATGATAATCTAACACTACGCCACCTAAATTTTTATAGAAAAAAATTAGAGTAGACTTAATCTAAATGAGTGATATTCTTGAATTACTAATAACTTTACGTAATCAATTCTTCCTAAAATTCCATTGTGGCTAAATAATCATGAAATATTTCATCTCCGTTTTAGCCTAATTAGCAACTAAAGTCCATTTTTGAATCCCCGGTGATTAAAAGTTTATTATATATTATGTAATCGCGTCTAATTAATAGTTTATTTATATACATTATGTAAGAATCGCGTCTCTATAAAAGTATAAAAGTAAGGATAAAAAACATATATATACACCCACTTTCACCCACTATTTTTTCATTTTTTTTTTAAGAAATACTTCGATTATTTTTTTAAAAATACTAAATACTCTAATATTTTTTAAGATTATTTTTTTAAAAATAAAAAATACTTCGCGTTGTAAGTGATTTTACGCGTCGTTAGAGACCGTTGCCAACTGACTCCTTCAAGGTAAAGAAGATTTTGAGGAGCACTACAAACCATTTGTTTATTATTTATTAAGGTAAGCTAAAGATCCCTGCTTAGCCTTCGGTTTGTATGTGTGTTATGTATGTGTGTGTTTTGTGTGAGTGCGTAAAACACAGGCTTATAGACAAAAAAAGCTGAAGGGAAGGAGAAACTGGCTTTCCTGGATGAGGGTTAGCCTATGTTTCTTGCTCATTTGTTTGGTATCCAAACCTTTCCGGACGCTTTTTTTTATGTAGTATGGTGGTGGTTGATTATTTTCTTCCACCGGTACCAACCATATTTACGATATTTTTTTAATTTTTTAGCTTATGTTGTTTACAAACCTTTACAACAGTAAGATTTGATCTCGATTTTATAAAGATTCAAGTATAAAAAAATTTAACTCCTATTTATTTAGTTATATATATATTTTTTGCTTTAAATAAGTAATAAAAAATAATTATTTTTAATAGTTCAACGATTTAGAAATAATAATTACAACGTAATTAGTTAATATATTCTATTATTTTATTATCCCGCTATTATTAACATATTAGGAATTAGGAAAATATCACCCTTATATATTCCTACTAATATAAATATTATTCCAAATAATAATACGCACCCTATTAGGCTTATAAAAAAAATAAAAATTTTAACTAATAAAGTTATGTATAACTGCTTTATAAGTAAGAAAACAACGAGACTAAACATAATAGTGCAAGTAAAATCACATACGGTATATATCAATAATTCTAAGCGAGAATAAATAAATTGTAAAGTTTTCTTAAATATTTTCTTAATAAATTTAAAGAGTGAGAATCTCTTATCGATAATTTGAAATACTTCATATTCTTCTATCTCAAAGGTTGTTTTATTAATAATTTTCTTTTCGTAAGATTTTTGTTTACTACTACCGAACATTGAGTTACTATTGATCCATAAATCTTGTAAACCAAAGCACGGTCCCATGTTTTTATGCCAGATGATTGCTTCTTTTTTAGAAGTGACACGGCTTAATATGGGAATACCTCCATTTGTTGATGAAAATAATGAAAATATAAAGCTATTTGACGTTTTACATTTTTGATCAATAAAAAACCGGTTGTAGTATGAACCTTTATATTTAACACTACGCCAATCTAACGAATTATATCCACCAATTATTTCCCCTGATTTCCGAACTTTAATAATAACAACAGTTGATCCCTTATTATCACAACATTCATGAAATTTATTAGTATTAAATCCTTCATGACTAGCACGATAAATAAGTTCAAATTTAAAAGGTATGTCTTTTAAATGATAAGGAATTCCTTTTTTCTTATCAATCCAGCTTGCTATTACTGCTACATCTTTAACATTAATTATTTTAGAATCAAGAGGATATACTGTTACTCTTAATGGTAAATTTTTTAGTAAAGGTTTGGAATTAGGATCTGAAAAATATTGTAGGATATCATCAACTAGATCTTTAGTTAGAATATGTTTATACCGTTTTCTAACTAAATTAAATACTTTAAAAGACATTTGGGAAAATCGAACGTAAGGAATACAATTATGCAAAGTTTTTTCTAATTTACTGAAATCCATTGGAGTCCATTTAATTAAATTTTCATTTGGAATATAATCAGTATTTTTAATTCCCCATTTGATTAGATAATCCCAAATTTCAATTTCTTCTAGTTTAAGATTATCACATTTTAAAAGATGAATTAAACAATCTTCTTCAATTTCAAAAAATTCTTTTGAATCAAAAATAATTTTAGGATTTTTACACACTAATTCTAATATAACTTCATATAAATTATTGAAACGATCACAATATTGATAAAGTGTAATAAAATCTTTTGGAAATTTCCAAGCCGATTCATTTTCAAGCAAATGTTTCTCGAGTTGTTGATAAATTTCGAGTAATTCAAGTTCGTCAGATGCAATTAAAACATCAACAAGACTTTCGTTATTTCCAATAAAAAATGTCTCTGAATAAATATGACTACATATTATTTATATTATGTTTATTAAATAAATAAATAACGAATTTAGTTTTGTAATAACTGAAGATTTATAAGTTTTACTTACTATATAAGAATTTCAAATACTGTAGGAGAAATATTAAGTTGATTGGAAATAAAAAATCCTTCTTCTTTCCTTGCCCATTGTTCAGAAAATGCTTTTTTAAAATAATTTGACCTAGAAGATAAAATAAAAGAATGTGCTTTAAACTCTTTAATATTCGGTTCTTTTCCAACTCTAATTTTTACATCAAAATCGTTGGTATCTTTAGCTAAATTTTGAGTATACTCGTAATCCATAATTTTTTTTTTTTTTTTGTATTTAACAATTATCAGTTAGATACTGTATTTTTTTTTAAAAAAAACTCATTTATTTTGTTTATGTATATTTATGTATACACATGTATAGTATTATTGGCGTGATCATATATGAAAGTTTTAAATGGATATATTATTTACAAAACTTTTTGTTATCTAAACACGGTAAAAATATAAATGGTAGACTTTATCTAAATTTAGTGATATTCTTGATAGAAAACGAGTTTTTTAATAAATTATTAATAAGTTACGTAATTAATTCTAGAATTCCACAGCCATCATTAACATTGTAAATTTCATTGTGGCTAATAATCATGCTACGGAACTTTTAGCTATGGTTTAAACTATAGTTTAAACTAGTCAAATTGATCGGCAAAATTACCTATAATTTTCGCTATCGTTCATGTAACTAGGAGAAATATTTGTTACACGTGCTTGTTAAATCAATTATTTTTGTTAAAATGAAAAAAATTCAAGTGAAGTAGTGAACTCTATTCAAGTATCTCCAAATATTTTACTCTTTTATCCTTCTAAACTTTTAATAAAGCTGATATATCAATTGTTGGTTTGTGCTTGAAGCCATTTTCATATTTATCATATGTGTATGGTTGAAGTTGAAATGATAAAAAAAAAAGCATTTTTAATTTATCTATATTAATAAATCTTACGTTACTTTAGATGCAAAAACAGTGTATCGTAAATCGTAATTTAATGAATTTCAGATCCAAGAAAAATGTAGACTTGTTTCATCTAGAATATATAATGGGCTTCAATTGAGAAGTTAACATTTATGATAGAAGAATAAGAAGTATCTTATATTATTGATAAGAGCTTCTCTCTCTAGGAAATATTTAATTTACTGAGACTGAGAATGATTAAGAAAATATTTAATTTTAATAAATAAAATTAAGAAAATTTGACGTGATCAAATATAAGGATCGTAGTATGATTTATTTTAAATCTAACGGATTATAGCCACCAATTATTTCTCCTAATTTAAAAATATATATATATAATAGTAGACTTAATCTAAATGAGTGATATTCTTGATAAATTATTTATACTGACTGTTACATAATTGTGCGATCTGATTGGTTCTACACGTGTAAGGACAGGTAAGAACTGAAATGTCTTATGCTTACGCCTTACGCTTCGGAGAATAAAAATAATAATATCATTTTAAAAGAATTGTATCATTTCCAATTAAAAAGGTTACGTCGGCAAGCTGTTATTACCTTTTAAGTAAAACAAGCTATTAGAATAAAATAAATATATTCTGTAGCTCGCTAAGACATTTATAAATTGGTTAACTATAATAGAAATCTTTTTCAACATATTATTGTAATTCAATGGAGAAATGAATAAATTATTTATATTAATAATCAACATCACTCTTTCTATTTATTTTATTAATTGATTAATAGTTTATTATATCTGATATATTATGTAATAATCGCGTCTAATAGTTTATTATAAATTATGTAAATAAATTATGTAATAACAGATAATCGCGTCTGGTTAATAGTTTATGTAATAAAATAGTTTATTATATTATGTAATAATAAGTAAGGTAAAAATATATATATATACACCACTTTCACCTACTTATACACCCACATTTTTTCGTTTTGTCTCTTTAAATAGAAAAAAAAAATACTTCTATTTATTTTTTTATATCTTTAAAATAGAAAAAAAAATACTTCGCGTTGTAACTTGTAAGTGAGTTTACGCGTCGTTAGAGACCGTTGCCAACTGACTCCTTCAAGTTAAAGAAGGTTTTGAGGAGCACTACCAACCATTTATTAAGGTAAGCCAAAGATCCCTGCTTAGCCTTCGGTTTGTATGTGTGTTATGTGTGTGTGTGTTTTGTGTGTGCGTAAAACACAGGCTTATAGACAAAAAAAGCTGAAGGGAAGGAGAAACTGGCTTTCCTAAATGAGGGTTAGCCTATGTATCTTGCTCATTTGTTTGGTATCCAAACCTTTCTGGATGCTTTTTTTTATGTAGTATGGTGGTGGTTGATTATTTTCTTCCACCGGTACCAACCATACTTACGATATTTTTTTAATTTTTTAGCTGCAATAACATTGAACTACGGTATATAAGCTAGATATTGTAAAAAAATCCACACGAAGGTCTTCCATTTTCCATACAAATTAGCAGCCAGTGAGAAGATGATTATTAAGATTTACCGCAGAAAATAGTTTCTTTTTGTCTTTCTCACCGAGCAAGAGAAATTGGATCACGTAAAATAGAATTCTGATTTCTGATGTAGAGAATATATTTGTAAATAGGAGAATTCTTTGGTTAACTGAGCCATAAACGCCATTAGATGGTAACTCGGAACATAATTGACTCCTTTAGCTAGTTATACATATTAAAGTTGGTTAGTTTTAGCTCACCTATAATGGATTCTTATTTCTTATTAAAATTATTTTTATTTATTCTTTTTAAATTTAATTTCATCATTTGTAAAAAAAAAAAAGATTTTGAGTTCGGAATTCGGATTTGTATAATCAACGGGTGATAAGTGATAAAAGTGATAACATATGAAAGAAACGAATTTAAAGTAAATTTTCAATTCCTCATTTAAATATATAATTTAACTAAAGTTGAATCAAAAATATTGAAAATTGATCATATAAAGTTAATTCGAAATAAGTATATCTTTTTTAGTTTTTTTTATACCTTTTGGGAATTGCCAACAATAGTAATCTATGAAGTTTAATTTACCCATTATCGTAAACGGTTGACTAAAGTATTCCTCAATGTATCGTATCCCCTCTTTTTTACCCAAAAAAAGTTTCATTTCTCTTTATTTTCATTATTAAATATTATAATTTTGCCCAGGCATTGCACGTAAATATTTTTCTACAAGTTATAAATGTATTTTATTTATTTTAAAAATTCGAGTAATATACCTGGTAGTATAAGGTTAATCCCCTGACCGTTTAGTCCGTTTACGGTAATAAAGGAATTATTAATTAAAAGTTTAATACTTAAGCTCATAATATTTTTTTTTTTTAATTATATTTCTTCTTGTCTTAGATATTAAGTAATACAAAATCAAATAGCTCAACTACAATTACACGTAAATTAAGAATATATTTCTACCAAGATAAATTATTTAACCTAAAACAAAAGGAACCGCTAGCGCTAGGTAGTACTACATTAGTTACCGGATTCTATAGAAATTACTATTTTTATGAAGGAGTAAATACTTACTATAATATCTTTAACTAATACGCCCCCCAACAGGATTATTAATAAAACATAATTAAAGAGAGTAACACCAAACTTAAAAAACTTAAATATGATAAATACTAATAACGCTAGATCAGAATGAATGATTTTCCTAACAATTCCCCTAAATTTTTTCTCAACATTTTCCCTAAATCTTTTCTCAACAGTTTCAATAAAATCATATATTTCCTTAATAAGTTTAAAGAATGAGAATCTCTTGTCAATAACTTGAAATACTTCGTATTCTGCTATGTTAAAGGATTCATTATCAATAATTTTCTTTTCGTAAGATTTTTGCTTGCTTTTGCCAAATCTTGAATCACTCCGGATCCACAAATCTTGAAAACCAAAGCACGGTCCTTTGTTTTTACACCAGATAATTGCTTCATTTTTAGAAGAGATTCGGCTTAATATGGGAATTACTCCATTTGTTAATGAAAATAATGAAAACAAAAAGCTATCTGACGCTTGATATTCATGATCACTCCGCCAATCTAACGGATTATACCCACCAATTATTTCTCCCGATTTCCGAACTTTAATGACAACAACGGTTGGTCCCTTATTATCACAACATTCATGAAATTTATTAATGTTAAATCTTTCAAGGCTGGCACGATAAATAAGCTCAAATTTAAAAGGTATATCTTTTGTACGATAAGGAATTCCTTTTTTCTTATCAATCCAGCTCGCTATTACTGCTACATCTTTAGCATTGATTATTTTAGAATCAAGAAGATATGCTGATGCTCTTAATGGTAAATTTTTTAATAAAGGTTTAGAATTAGGATCTGAAAAATATTTTAGGACATCATCAACAAGATCTTTTGGTAGAATGCTTTTAAATTCAAGTTCGTTAAATACTTCAGGAGGCATTTGGGAAAATCGAATGTAAGGAATACAATTATGCAAAGTTCTTTCTAGCTCACTGAAATCCATCGGTGTCCATTCAGTAAAATCATCATTCGAAATAGAATCAGTATTTTCTATTCCCCATTCAATTAAATATTCCCAAATTTCAATTTCTTCTAGCATAAGTTCATCACATTTCAAAATCTGAATTAGATGTTGTTCTTCTAAGTTTATAAATTCTTTTGAATCAACAATAAGTTTAGGATTTCTACACACTAATTTTATCGCAAATTGATATAAATCAGTTAACAGCTCGTGTTGACATAGCGTAATAAAATCTTTTGGAAATTTCCAAGCCGATTCATTTTCAAGCAAATGTTTCTCGAGTTGTTGATAAATTTCGAGTAATTCAAGTTCGTCGGATACAATTAAAACATCAACAAGACTTTCGTTACTTCCAATAGAAATTGTCTCTGAATAAATAAGACTACATATATATGTTTATGAAATAAATAACAAATTTACATTCGTAATAAGTAAATCAAAATGATGTTAAGGTATAAAACTTACTTTATAAGAGCTTCAAACACTGTAGGAGAGATATTAGGTTGATTTGAAATAAAAAATCCTTCTTCTTTTCTTGCCCATTGTTCAGAAAATGCTTTTTTAAAATAATTTGACTTAGAAGATAAAATAAAAGAATGTGCCTTAAATTCTTTAATATTTGGCTTTTTTCCAACTCTAATTTTTACATCATGAACACTGGTATTTTTAACTAGATTTGATGGATCTTTAGATGAATTTTGAGTGAGCACGTAATTCATTTTTTTTTTTCGAAATAATTATCAGTCGGATAAATAAAATAAAAAAAAAATTTAATGTAAATCATTTAATCAAATTTGCGCTTATATAGTATGTTGGCGTGACTAGACCTTTTTAGAACGGAATTTCTTCTCCAAAAAGAATAAATTAATGCATAAAAATTTTTTTCACCTGATAATATCGGACTTATTACGAATATGTTGTACAATCGTTTTGACGGATTATATCCCAAACCTAACTGGGCTAGGTCGCTAAGATATTCAATACAATTAACCTATTTAAGAAAAAAAATAAATATTTTTTGCACGTGCATTTTAAGATATTTATATGAAATAAATAACAAATTTACATTCGTAATAAGTAAATCAAAAATGACGCTAAGATATAAAACTTACTTTATAAGAACTTCAAACACTGTAGGAGAGATATTAGGTTGATTGGAAATAAAAAATTCTTCTTCTTTCCTTGCCCATTGTTCAGAAAATGCTTTTTTAAAATAATTTGACTTAGAAGATAAAATAAAAAGAATGTGCCTTAATATTTGGCTCTTTTCCAACTCTAATTGTTTACATCATGAACACTGGTATCTTTAACTAGATTTGATGTATCTTTAGATAAATTTTGAGTGAGTTCGTAATTCATTTTTTTTCATTATTTCAGTCGGATATTTTAAAAAAAAATGAAAATCATTTTAGCCAAATTTGCTTGCCTATATAGTATATCGGCGTGATCACTTGACTGGAGTGTGATCATATATGTTTAGACCTTTTTGGGACGGGATTTCCTTCAAAAAGATTGACTTATTTGGATTTGTTATTCGACGGATTCCTAATTAGGTTAGTGTATTTCAAGACCAACCTATTTAAGCTTGTATTCGCGTATAATCAACGGACCTAGATGTATTTTCGATGGTACCACGTGTTTTGATAGATAATTATCTAAAGTTAATATTCTAAATTCCTTTCGCCGATTAATCAAATATCAATTTTTTCTGACTTGAAGTCATCGGATTTAATAAAAATTTTATATACAAATTCTGGTATATTTATATACCGTATTGAAATAGTCTGTTTCATACTTGTTGAAATCATTTGCTGCAACAACAATAATATACCGAATTTATAATGAGTATTCACACCTTTGTACCGGAGGTTTGGATCCAATCTAGCCATTGTTAGAAGTCTTCCTCGAATCGCCATATATAATCCATTCTCATATTCTTCCCCGACTGAATTTTTAAAATTTTTATGAAAAAGTCAGAAATAAATATTAAAATAGATCTATAAATAAATATATGTAAATATATTTAATACGTATTGTTTTTCCTGACATTTAATAAAGTGAAGTTATGGCAGCACCTTTTAAATCTCCTTCACAGGTTGTTGCAAAGAATCAGCATGGCCTTGAATAACAGTAACAAAAAGTGTATGTAAAGATTTAATCGCTTCTGCGCCAATCCTATAATTAGACTATTAATGGTTAATTTAATCATTTAATAATAATGACTATCCGATAATTTTATTACTACGTTGCATACAACCGACCTAAATCTGCATAAGCTTATGAGGACATAAAATAAGGTTTACCCCAGATATTGATAAAAATAAATAAAAATAGCTTAGGTAAATTTACTAATAATTTAATAATTTGAAGCATTTCATATTCACTTATTCCTTTATTTTCCTTTCGTAAGAGGTTGTTACTTTTATCAACGATAATAATATTTTAAATGTAGAACACTACTAGATTCAAAATTTGCAAGTCATATCACGACTTTTTGTTCTCATAACGACTTTTTTTTAGAAGAGATTCAATGTAAGAATTGCCGTTATCGTAGTCAAAGGTTCAATCTAAATATTACCTGTCTCACTCGATCTACAAACTATATATCTGTGCAAAGCTTTATTCAATAAGATCTTTATTTTATAATAATTAGTATAGCATTGCCGACATATATTTTTTATGCAAAATGAGATTTATTCTAAAGTATAACTTAGCGAAAGGGCAAAATTATTTTATAAAGAACCAAGTTGCTGAGGAATTATAAAATTTTTAAAGTTTATTTATTAAATTATATGCATAACTTGATTAATCGATGAAAAAAATATTTTAGAATGGTCCGAAGAATGGTCCTAAAACCGGTCCTAAGACTGGTATTGATAGGACCGATCCAACCCTATTAATAAGTTTGTAGGGTGAGAATCTCTTATCGATTATTTGAAATACCTCATAATCTTCTATTTCAAAGGTTTCTCTATTAATAATTTTCTTTTTGTAATATTTTTGTTTACTCCTACCGAACATTGAGTTATTATTGATCCATAAATCTTGTAAACCAAAGCACGGTCCTTTGTCTTTACACCAGATAATTGCTTCTTTTTTAGAAGTGACACGGCTTAACACGGGATTTACTCCATTTGTTGATGAAAATAATGAAAATATAAAGCTATTTGACGTTTTACATTTATGATCAATATAAAAACGGTTGTAATGTGAACCTTTATATTTAACACTACGCCAATCTAACGAATTATATCCACCAATTATCTCTCCTGAATTTCGAACTTTAATGATAACAACAGTTGGTCCCTTATTATCACAACATTCATGAAATTTATTAGTATTAAATCCTTCATGACTAGCACGATAAATAAGTTCAAATTTAATAGGTATATCTTTTAAACGATAAGGAATTCCTTTTTTCTTATCAATCCAACTTGCTACTATTGCTGCATCATTAGCATTGATTATTTTAGAATTAAGAGGATATACTGATACTCTTAATGGTAAATTTTTTAATAAAGGTTTAGAATTAGGATCTGAAAAATATTGTAGGACATCATCAACAAGATCTTTTGGTAGAATACTTTTATATTGTTTTCTAATTATATTAAATACTTGAGGAAACATTTGAGAAAATCTAATGTAAGGTATACAATTATGTAAGGTTTTTTCTAATTCTCTGAAATCCATTGAAGTCCATTTAATTAAATTATCATTTGAAATAGAATCAGTATTTTTAATTCCCCATTTAATTAGATAATCCCAAATTTCAATTTCTTCTAGTTTAATATTATTGCATTTTAAAAGCTGAATTAGACAATCTTCTTCAATTTTAAAAAATTCTTTTGAATTAAAAATAATTTCAGGTTTATTACACACTAATTCTAGTATAACTTCATATAAATTATTGAAACGATCACGATAGTGATAAAGTGTAATAAAATCTTTTGGAAATTTCCAAGCCAATTCATTTTCAAGTAAACGTTTTTCAAGTTGTCGATAAACTTCAAGTAATTCGATCTCGTCGGATGCAATTAAAATATCAACAAGACTAATTTTATTATTATCAACAGAAAATGTTCCTAAATATATATAACTTCATATATGGATATGTATATAAAACAAAATAATAAATTTAGGCTTGTATTAATTGAATTTTTACAAATGACGACAATAAACTTACTTTATAAGAATTTCAAATACTGTAGGAGAAATATTAGGTTGATTGGAAATAAAAAATTCATTTTCCTTCCTTGCCCATTTTTCAGAAAATGCTTTTTTAAAATAAATTGACCTAGAAGATAAGACAAAAGAATGTACCTTAAATTCTTTAATATTTGGTTCTTTTCCAACTCTAATTTTTACATCGCAATTGCTGGTATCTTTAAGTAAATGTGATAAATCATTAACTAAATTTTGAGTAGGCTCGTATTCCATAATTTTTTTTATTTTTTAATTATCAGTCAAGGATCATATTTAAAATAAGATTTTATATATATGCATGTACAATATTTTGCCGTTTTTTAGAACGGGAATTCTTCAAACATTTTTTAATAAGGAATTTATTATTATGCCCATTGTAGTACCCATCGTAACGCAATTATTTCGGTAAAACTATAAATGGTAAGAATCAACTAGTGTAATTCTAGAATTCCACAGATTTACTCCTTTTTTTCACTGTGGATAATAATTATGCTACATATATTATTCACTTTCAGTTGTTTCAATTGAATTAGTAGTATTCTGGCCGGTTAAAACTTATTACATAATTTTCGGGCAAAACGACCAAACGTCCATACAACTAAGAGAAATATTTATTATTCCCAAATGTACCATTTCCTGAAGTTAAAAAAAGAAAACGCTACATAAAACAAGAATACAACGCTAAAATAACCCGATTGGAAGAGAAGATTAAATCATTAATGTAGAAAATTAAATCAATGGAACAGGGAAGGCATATTAAAATAAGGAATAACATTTTACACAAATACAAAGAATTAAATCATTATTGTTTTACGAAAAACATTTAGCAGATAAAGGGAATAAGGTCATTATTTTACAGAAAAGTTAAATCATTGTAAAATTTCTTCGAATTTACACACTACTATAACTTTATTATTTTACGTAAACTGTTTATCGTAGTGTTAGGGTTATGATGAACCGGGAAGATATCCTGATTACAATTTGGTTCACCCGCATTATCTGTTCACGAGCTTTATTTAATCGGGAATTTCTATTAGTCGTATTATTCTTCGACCATATTCTAATTCGCTAGCTGATTTGTGATTGCTCGTTTCTTGTTTAAGATCTTGCTCTATAATTTTTCTTCTAGCTAGTAGTGTTAAACTGTAGATTACCATACGTACCTTGCTTAATAACCTATTTTTCGTATTTCTCGTAACTCGGCCCCAGTTAAATGAATTTTAGTTTTTCGATAATCAAAAAAAAAAAATGCAAATAGTTTTAATAAGTGTCAATGTAGCCACACAAGATGAAATAAATTTTCTGATTGGCATCAATTTTTATTTTGTTCGGATATCCCCGGCTGAAATTTCTTGGCAAATATCACGTGACTGTGAAATGCCAGAAACGGTCATGTGAGATTTATCACCTGAAAAAATGCGCAGTACGATATACAATAAAGTTTCTTTACTCGTAAGCTGATTGGCTAAAAAGGATTATTACTGTAAAAGATTAAAAGTTTTATAAAAGGGCAGTCAAATCATATGATACTGCAAAATTTTGATACATTTTCTCCACCGCTTATGAACTGCGTGGGATTTTAACAATGTAAAAAAGATTTTCGTGTATTCTAAGAACTATGGTTATACCTTTGGATATGATGTCATTATCCCGTATATATATTGGAGAATTTGGTTATGCGTTTGCTAATGTCAACTCATAAGAGACGGAAATAGTCAATTTTCTGAATGCTCATTTGAGTCATTTCCCAGAATGCTAATATCTAGACTGTACCTTTTTTTTTAATTTATTATATAATATATGACAAATAATTGCGTCAAGAACAATAATTACTGCGTAGTAGATTGCATTGTTATTAATGATCTTTTGTCAGTCGATCATTTTTATGAAAATGGAATGGATTAAAAAAGAAATCGATATTAATATTAGAGAAATTAAAGTTTCCAGTTCGCAATCGGAAAAATGACTTTAGAAATATTATATCTCAATGATAGATTTTTAAGTTATTTGAAAATGTTTATACTACTTAAATATTTAGTCCTTTTATCTTTATAAATGTTACTTTTTATATAATTATTAAACCTGGAACAAAACCCGGCTACCATAATCTCGAATCTCGATATAATATAAAACGAGACCAAAACTTATGGTGTAGTTAGCCGAAAAACGGAGCCGAATTCCTGATTGCCGATCATCCGGACCCGGTTTAATCACAGAAAATCCCCTGGCTAAGACGCATTATTTATAATTTGAGCAATAAAGAATAATTTTTTTCATTTGAGTACTTTCCAAATAAAAACAAAATATGATTTTTTTTACAATTGGTATAATATAATATATTCATAGAAATTGCAGTATTATATTTATGAGTACAATATTTTAATTTAAGACTTTCTCTTATTATATAGCTAATATAGATTAGGAAGTTATAAGCTTACCGCTTACAGCATGATTGATCCCATATTTTATAGTTGATCAATTTATCTGCATAACTCCAATAAATAGAAGACATTAAAACGATAGTATTACGGAGGACTGATATTGATAAGAGCTAAGAGTATTATAAGCTTATAATCATTACTATTTTTTTTTTAGGCGTATTTTAAAAAGATTTTAATATAATTACCATACATATCTATTTTCTATATAAGTAGTATAAACATTTTCAAATAACTTAAAAAATCTATCATTGAGATATAATATTTCTAATGTATAATGAATATTTCTATATTATACAATTATCTAATAATTTTTGTTCTATTTGATAATATAAATCATAAACGTGACAAAAAAATAAATTAAGAGAATAACAGCAACTTTAATTATAATATCAGCCTCAATAAATTCATATATGAAAAAAATTAATAATGACAAACCAAATAGAGCACCCAGCAGATATAAAAGTATAATTTTACCTTCGTTAAATATTCTCTTAATAAATTCGTAATAAGAGAATCTCGTATCAATAATTTGATATACTTCATATTCTTCTATCTCAAAGGTTTCTTTATTAATAATTGTCTTCTCATAAGATTTTTGTTTACTCCTACCAGATCTTGAACTACTCTGGATCCACAAATCTTGTAAACCAAAGCAAGGTCCTTTGTCTTTACACCAGATGATCGCTTCTTTTTTAGAGGAGACTCGGCTTAATGTAGGAATTACTCCATTTGTTGATGAAAATAATGAAAATATAAAACTATCTGAAGTTTTACATTTATGATTATTATAAAATTCACTATTATTAGATGGCATGTCTTCGCCATTTAATTTAATACTACGCCATTCCAACGGATTATATCCGCCAATTATTTCTCCTGAATTTCGAACTTTGATGATAACGACAGTTGGTCCCTTATTATCGCATCTGTTATGAAAAAATTTAAACTCTTCAAGACTAGCACGATAAATAAGCACAAATCTAAAAGGTATATCTCTTAAATGATAAGGCGTTCCTTTTTTCTTATCAATCCAACTTGATATTAATGCTGCATCTTTAGCATTAATTATTTTTGAGTCAAAAGGATATACTGTTACTCTTAAAGGCAAATTTTTTAGTAAAGGTTTAGAATTAGGATCTGAAAAATATTGAAGAACATCATCAACAAGATCCTTTGGTAGAATACCATTAAATTGAGTACTAACTATATTAAATACGTTAGGAGGCATTTGAGAAAATCGAATGTAAGGAATGCAATTATGTAGAGTTTTTTCTAGTTCTGTGAAATCATTTGAAGTCCATTTTGATAAATTATTAATAGAATCTGTGTTTTTAATTCCCCATTTAATTAAATAATCCCAAATTTCAATTTCTTCTAGCTTAAGATCATCCCGTTTCAAAATCTCAATTAGATGATCTTCTTCCATTTTTAAGAATTCTTTTGATTTAAAAATAAGATGAGGTTTCCTACATACTAAATCTATTGCAACTTGATATAAATTGCTGAAATGATCATCATGACGAAATTGACAAAGCGTAATAAAATCTTTTGGAAATTTCCAATCCGATTCATTTTCAAGTAAATGCTTCTCGAGTTGTTGATAAATTTCGAGTAATTCAAGTTCGTCGGACGCAATTATAACATCAACAAGACTTTCATTATTTTCAATGGAAAATGTCCCTGAATAAATATGACTAAATGTATATGTTTATACAGATTTAGACTTGTAATTTGCACCATAAGTAAATTAAAAATATTACTAAGATATAAAACTTACTTTATAAGGATTTCAAATACTGTAGGAGAAATATTAGGTTGATTAGAAATAAAAAATCCATCTTCTTTCCTTGCCCATTGTGCAGAAAATGCTTTTTTAAAATAAATTGACCTAGAAGATAAAATAAGAGAATGTGCCTTAAATTCTTTAATATTTGGCTCTTTTCCAACTCTAATTTTTACGTCACAATTGCTGGTATCTTTACGTAAATTTGATATATCATTAGATAAATTTTGAGTGAGCTCGTAATCCATATTTTTTTTTTTTCGAAATAATTATCAGTCGGATAAATAAAATAAAAAAAAAAATTAATGTAAATCATTTAATCAAATTTGCGCTTATATAGTATGTTGGCGTGACTAGACCTTTTTAGAACGGAATTTCTTCTCCAAAAAGATAAATTAACGCATAAAAATTTTTTCACCTGATAATATATGTTGTACCCAAAACTCAATCGTCATTTTAACCGATAACATCCCAAACCTAACTGGGCTAGTATATTTCAATACAATTAACCTATTTAAGATCGGATTTGCATATACAATAAAATCAGTATATTAATTTCTTTCACTTAATTAAATATCAATCTCTTTTGACTTGAAGTCACAAAGTTAAATCAATGTGCTCATTTTTTAATCTGTAAAAAAAAAAAAAAAAAAAAAAATTTGGAAATTTTACGTACACATACAGTAAGATCGGGTTGAGAGACATTCTGTTTCACACTTATTGCTGTAACAGTGCAATAACAATAGATATCATTATTATAATAATATACCAAATTTTTTTCTATAAATGTTAAGTATAAATTCTTGCACGCTCATTGTAAGACTGCCGGAAGTTTAGATCAAATCCCAGCCATTGCCAGCACACTGATAAGAGTAACTAACTAATTACCATTAATTTCTAGTAGTAAAGTTAATTCAATAAAGTGAAAATTAGGTTCGTGAAAATATAAACTCTATTCTCATATCTTGTCGTGACAAACAACACATTATACAATAAATGTACTTTAACACCATTTAGATGCTATGTGCCTATGTCGTATATGTCTGTGCAAAGCGTTTTTTAATACAAAAATTTATTTTACATGTATTATTAAATATAACTTTGCGACATGACAAAAGTTACGGTTTATAAAGATCCAAAATTACGTTATAAATTTAATAGAAAGTTATTTATTAAAATATATGTATAACTCGATGAAAATGTTTTTATAAAAAAAGTATATATATATTTTAAGTAAACCTATAACTTCATAAATGCAAAAAAAAAAAAAAATTGAACAGATGTCTAAAAATTTTAAATCATGAGTTATTTGATTATTAAATAATCGGTCAAATCAGAATCAAATCTACACGCAAATCTATACGCTTCCTCCCTACGCATTTTTTTCTTATCTATTTTTTTCCTAGTTGTTTTTTCCGTTTTCTTGTACATTTTCACACTAAAATTAAACATTTTCTTAATAAGTTTAAGGGGAGAGAATCTCTTATCAATAATTTGAAATACTTCATATTCTTCTATATCAAAGATTTCTCCATTAATAACTTTTTTCTCATAAGATTTTTGCGTGCTCATTCCAGATCTTGATTGTGGACTACTACTCTGAATCCACAGATCATGTAAACCGAAGCAAGGTCCTTTGTTTTCATGCCAGATGATTGCTTCTTTTTTAGAAGTGACCCTGCTCAATATGGGAATTACTCCATTTGTTAATGAAAACAATGAAAATATAAAACTATTTGATGTTTTACATTTATGATCAATATAAGGTTTAGATGTTACTCTTTTACTTTTTTTATCTTTTACTGTCTTAATACTACGCCAATCTAACGGATTATAGCCACCAATTATCTCTCCCGAATTTCGAACTTTAATGATAATAACAGTTGGTCCCTTATTATCACAATATTCATGAAATTTATTAGCGTTAAATCCTTCCCAACTAGAACGATAAATAAGCTTAAATTTAAAAGGAATATCTTTTAAACGATAAGGCATTTCTTTTTTCTTATCAATCCAGCTTGCTATTATTGCTGCGTCTTTAGCATTAATTATTTTTGAGTCAAAAGGGTATACTGTTAATCTTAATGGTAAATTTTTTAATAAAGGTTTGGAATTAGGATCTGAAAAATATTGTAGGACATCATCAACAAGATCTTCTGGTAAAATATTTTTATAATTTTTTCTTAGTTCATTAAATTCTTTAGGAAACATTTGGGAAAATCGAATATGAGGAATACAATTATGCAAAGTTTTTTCTAGTTCCTTGAAATACATTGGTGACCATTCAGTTAAATCATCGTTCGAAATAGAATCGGTGTTTTCTATTCCCCATTCAATTAAATAATCCCAAATTTCAATTTCTTCTAGCTTAAGTTCATCACGTTTCAAAATCTGGATTAGATGTTCTTCTTCCATATTTAAAAATTCTTTTGATTTAAAAATAAATTTAGGATTCTTACACACTAATTCTATCGCAACTTGATATAATTTAGTTAAATGATCGTGTTTACATAATGTAATAAAATCTCTTGGAAGTTTCCAAGCCGATTCATTTTCAAGCAAACGTTTTTCGAGTTGTCGATAAATTTCAAGTAATTCAAGCTCATCAGATGCAATTAAAATATCAACAAGACTAATTTCGTTATTATCAACAGAAAATGTTCCTGAATAAATATGACTATTATATTATATTATATATAAAAAAAATAAATTTAGTTATTTGTGCGGTAATAAATTAATTAAAGTAAACTTACTTTATAAGAATTTCAAACACTGTAGGAGAAATATTAGGTTGATTGGAAATAAAAAATTCATCTTCTTTTCTTGCCCATTGTTCGGAAAATGCCTTTTTAAAATAAACTGATCTAGAGGACAAGATAAGAGAATGTGCCATAAATTCTTTAGAATTTGGTCCTTCCCCAACTTTAATTTTTACATCGCAATTGCTGGTATCCTTGCGTAAATTCGATATGTCATCGGATAAATTTTGAATATGCTCGTAATTCATTTTTTTTTTTTGAAAAATAATTTTTTATAAGATCAAATACTGTATTTATTATAAAGTTAATGTAAATCATTTTTGCTTTTGTATACATATAGTTATAGGCGTTACCATTTTTGTTTAGATGACTTTTATAAATAGAATTACACAAGCAAAGCAACATGTTTTTTACAAAACCAGCTTTTTTATTAGTGAATATCTCCAGTCTATCGGCACGAGCTTTGAAATAAAATAGAATTTTCAACAAAACTACAAAACATCCAAAGTTCTTTCAAAATGTAAATCAACAGTTGAACTTTATTAAAATGTAGCGAGGAAGCAGCAACACTTAGTATCAAAAGGATACCAAGACCTTAGGAAACAAAGTTCAATTGGCTTTGTGAGGCTTGGCAGAAAACAAAGAACTCCCGTTTAATCTTTCAAAAAAGGAAACGAAGCTCAAACAAAAGGAACAAATAATCTCTCAGAAAGGAAAGAAAATAATTGATTTAAATTTAGAAATCTGAAGAAAAAAAGGGGCTATCTTTGATGGTATTAAAAAAGGAATAATAATTGGGAAGTTCGGATGATGATCATGTCCAACTCAATCAACATCTACGGTGACTAATGATCAGGTCACGACAGTCACGTCCTCACGTGAAGAAAATAAAAATCAAGAAACAATTTAAATATCAAACAGTAAGAGCGTACTGTAAATACATTTGAAACATAAATTAGAAAAAAAACTTTTTGGATGGGCATTGGAGTACAACTCTCAGTTTTGATAAAATGATGCTTATGTGTCGGTGGTTCCCCGGTTCTGCATTTATTACAAATACACGCACGAAAGAGAAAAGCGGCAAGCAATAAAAATTTGTTAGTTAGATGGGTCACAAAATGTAGAGTTAATTTTATTAAAGTAATATGAAAATTATTTGCTAGGTCTGTTCAAATTGTAATTTGACATAAAACTTAGTTTACCTTTGAAAATAACGTTAAACTTTGCAATCTAAAATAACACTGGGAAGGACTCTGTTGTTACTAATAAGTATTTTCAGTTAAATACTCCAGCTAAATAAATAAAAATAATAATATTTGGTGTGAAGTTGCAGTTTTCGGTGAGGGACTGCTATTATACTTCTTTTATACTTAGTATTGAATCGCCAGTAATCTATATTTTTATCGACAAGGCGCAGTTTCAATTTCTTTCAAGTAATTGCGTACATATCAATCTTATTATTGTGGAGATTTGATAAAATAATTTGCTCTTTGCTGAAAAAATATTAATATTTATAGAGAAGAAATGCATTATTACATGTCATCACCACCGGTTAATGAAACTATAATTGGATATTTTTTTATTACTAGATTCACAATTATACATTAAATTTGAGATTTTATTAGAATTATGTATAATATTAAAATTGATCATTAATAGTCGTAAATATTGAAAATATTAAAATTTTCTTTATATCATAAAACGTAGGACATGATGAAATTAAAATACGTATTTTATTTTAAAAATTATTCGCTTAAAATCTTTTATAACAGTGTTTTATTTTATATTGAATGTAAAAAATTAAAAATTACTAACTATTGATACTTACATAAAGTATTAGATCAAACTAGTGATGAAATATACTTCAACCAGTGGCGCGCGGAAGCATAGGAAATGCAACGAGGAAGAAGTGCACCAGATAGCGCTCTGGACTTGCAAGGTTCTTTGGTTAGGGACCATTGAGGAATCGCTACCTTCCTTATGTTAAGAATCTTTACTCGCAAACTTCCTTTGTATGTTACAGAAATCCAAGAGAAAAGTAGCTCCTGCTGTTGGTAAATATCTTATTTTTTTGTCTTTCTCTTTCATAGTTGCACATAATATCAAATACTAATTTTATGCTGCTTCTTATCATTATCATCAAACCCGTCCAAAAAATATTCAAGCTACCGGTAAGTGAATCGTAATAACATATTTCATCTCCCAAAACATGCAATCGAAATAGCGAAGGAACAGACGGAACATGGATTTTATCAGAAATTTAAAGAACTTAGTAAGAATTTCAGATGATGATATAAAGAAGTCTTCCTTTAGAAGATACAGAAAGAACCATTTGAAATCGAAAGAAAACAAGAAGGCGTTGACGTGGATTTTGAATCAAGACTTAAAGAAGAAAACGAATATTTGATAACAGTTATAAACTTGTTAATCAATGGTCAGATAGGTTCGATAGAGAAAAATTTCAAAAAATTAATTGATATAAATAGAATTAGAAAAATTTTAGAAACAAAAAAATATGCTAAATGACATTGTAATTTTATTATTTCAAAGTTTCCATATTTATATATTTTTCTATAATTATATTCGGATTACGCCACTTAAATCGAATATACTGTAACAGATGTGATATGAAAGATAATAAGAGTAATTAATAGATTATAGATTTTGATTATAGAAGAAAATCCACACGATGCATCTTCTTTCAAATTAACAACCAGCAAGTAGGTGGTACTCAAAATTTCACCGCAGAAGAAAAAAAATGATAGATTTATAACAAATGGAATAATTTCTTTTATTTCATCTTTTCTTTCTTGAGCTTTACTTTCAGAAGCTTGGCTCTTTTATGTAACTGGAATTTTAGCCGTTTGTCCTTTTGGAAGCTTCAGGTCTTTTACGCACCCAGGCTTTTATCTGCTTGTCCGTGGGCTTTTATTTACAGCCCCAAGCTTATCCTATATTCACTAAAATACTTCAAACCCAAAAGTTAAGCCGGATATTAAGCCAGAAGTTAAACTGGAAGTTATACCAGCACGTAAACCAGTTCTTATAAATATTGACGATATTCAGAAACAGTTTCTAAAAAAATTCGAAGGAAGATATGATAAATATTGCTGCACAAAGTTTGAGTAGAATTAGATTATAAATAGGATCTCATGACAAATATAAAATACTGATTCGAATTTTATTACTTTTGATTTTTTCTACATAATGTTATCTTCATGTGTTTCGTCGATAAGAAAAATTTCTTTTGATTAACTGAATCGTAAACGCCATCAGTTGGCAGGTATACTGTATACAAATTAAATTAGCTGATTATAGTTTGTTTGTCGTAGATTCTTAATTTTTTTTCTTTTTTTCTTTTTTTTTTTTGACTTGGACATTGTATGTTACGAATGCCCGCATTTCTCTAAATAAAAATTGAATTTCACTTTTAAAAAAAATTGATTATAATTTAGTTCGGGTTTATAATCAACGGGGGACAACATAATAAGTAAAATAAGTGATTTAAATTCCTCAATTAATTATCCTCCCTCCTATTTACTAGAATCAGTCGGAAATTGATCGTGTAAAGAGCTTTTTTTATGACTTTTATCGTTGATTTACTGGGAATTAGTAAGTAAAGTAATCTATGACTATCAAAAGCTTATTTACATAAACAATAATGGGAACTTAGTATTATCATTTACAAACCTTAGATTTATTTAAATTCTCATGAAGATTCAAGTATTAATTTACCAATTATTTTATCTTTAACTGAAAAGTTTATTCAAATTTATTTGTCAAACGTATATAAAAAAAAATTTACAAAAATAAAGTATATAAACTAATAATATTCTATTAATCATATATCTTTTGCTTTAAATAAATAATACAAAAATAAATTTCGAATAGCTTAAAGATCTAGTTTATTACAAATATATATGATAATAGCAGTAATAGCAGCAATAATAACAACAACCAAAATTTTAGTTAAGAAACTAGCCATAATAAACTTGTATATGATAAATGCCAAAAGTGCCAAAGCGCCTAAAATACTTAAACCAATGAACAGTTTCTCATATGTTTCTCTTTCTATATTACTAATGAAACGTATGATTGACTGAATAGTTCTTCTCGTAAGTTGAAAAGTTCCCTTAATTATTCTCCCAGTAAAATTACATGCTTTCTTAAAAAGTTTAAGAGGAGAGAATCTATTATCTATAATTTGGAATACTTCAAATTCTTCTATATCAAAGGTTTTGCTATCAATAATTTTATTTTCGTAAGATTTTTGTTTGCTCTTACCAGATCTTAAATTACGATTGATCCACAAATCTTGTAAACCAAAGCACGGTCCTTTGTTTTTACACCAGATGATTGCTTCTTTTTTAGATTTAACTTGACTTAATTTAGGAATTACTCCATTTGATAATGAAGATAATGAAAATATAAAACTATTTGATGTTTTACATTTATGATCAAAATAAAAATCACGATTGTTATGCGGTATACTTTCATTTTCTTTCATACTACGCCAATCTAACGGATTATATCCACCAATTATCTCTCCTGAATTTCGAACTTTAATGATAACAACAGTTGGCCCTTTATTATCACAACATTCATGAAATCTATCAATGCTAAAATTTTCAAGACTAGCACGATAAATAAGCTCAAATTTAATAGGCATATCATTTAAACGATAAGGAATTCCTTTTTTCTTATCAATCCAGCTTGCTATTGTTGTTGCATCTTGAGCACTAATTATTTTGGAATCAAGAGGATATGCTGATACTCTTAATGGTAAATTTTTTAATGATTGTTTAGTATTAGGATCTGTAAAATATTGCAGGACATCATCAACAAGATCTTCTGATAGAATATTTTTATATTGTTTTCTAACTATTTCGAATACTTTAGGAGACATTTGGGAAAATCGAATGTAAGGAATACAATTATGCAAAGTTTTTTCTAGCTCTTCGAAATCCGTTAGCGTCCACTTATTCGAATCTTCATCTAATATAGAATCAGTATTTTCGATTCCCCATTTAATTAGATATTCCCAAATTTCGATTTCTTCTAGTTTAAGATCATCACGGTTTAAAAGTTGAATTAAATGTTCCTCTTTCATTTCCAAGAATTCTTTTGAATCAAAAATAACTTTAGCATTTCTACATACTAATCCTATTGCAACTTCGTATAACCCAGCGAAACGATCATCTTCACGAAATTGAAAAATTGTAATAAAATCCTTTGGGATTTTCCAAGCCGACTCATGTTCAAGTAAACGTTTTTCGAGATGTTGATAAATTTCAAGAAAACCAAGTTTGTCGGACGCAATTAAAATATCAACAAAACTAATTTCATTATTTTCATTATTGTCAACAGAAAATTTTCCTGAATAAATAAGACTAAATATATATTTAAATTTAAATTTAGTCTTGTGCAAAAATAAATTAATTATTAAATTTTTATAACTGGCGATAATAAACTTACTTTAAAAGAACTTCAAACACTATAGGAGAAATATCAGGTTGATTAGAAATAAAAAATCCATCTTCTTTACTTGCCCATTGTGGAGAAAATGCTGTTTTAAAATAATTTGACCTAGTAGATAAAATAAGAGAATGTGCCTTAAATTCTTTAATATTTGGTTCTCTTCCAACTAAAATTTTTACATCGCAATTGCTGGTATCCTTGCGTAAATTCGATATGTCATCGGATAAATTTTGAATATGCTCGTAATTCATTTTTTCGAATTTTTATCGGACACCAACCCTTAGAAGGAATAAAATGTAAAAAATAATTAACCAGAGCTTCGGTTTTAAATTGAAAAAGATTAGGCGTAGTTTTTGTTTTATCAAAAAGAATTTTCATTTGCCTTTTGTATAACGTATATGGTATATTGGCGTGACCATATATGTTTAGACTTAAAATTCTATAATAAAACACATCTTTGATGTAGATGATAATCCGGTGATTTGTAACATAGGTTAGGTATGACAAATTCTTGTTACCATTCATATTATTAAATGAACTCCGGATTTCCTCCTTTATATACTGCACGTAGTGCCGCATTAGACTATTATATAGTTTAAATCATCCAATAATAATATTATCGGTTTAACGGGACCGTTCATAATAAACTCCCGTTACTATCCAATAATTTTATTATTATGCTAATATGAGATAACCGACCTATAAAATAACAATTATGTAAAATCTGCATGAACTGATAATAATTATTATCATTTACAAAATCTCATATTATTTAAAAAAAAATACGAGTTTTTTCGATTTACGTTTGATTCAATAATTAGTGGAAGAATATTTTTCAAACTGCTAAATGTGTTATCGGGTAATTAATATTTTAGAATATATTGATTTTATGGATTTTTTAATTATTTTGTATTTTCTATCTCAATTCTCCTACTAGTAATCTGTCTTATAAACAATTCCAGATGAGATCGCTTCTTTTTAGATTTGAATTTGGCTTAATACAAGAATTAAAAACCATAATATTAATAAAAATAATGAAAATATAAAATTATGCAATATTTACGATCAAAAATATATCAATTATAATTTAGTTATATTATTTAATACGACTACGTCAATCTAACGGTCCCTCGAACTATTTAATTTAATGTTCTGATTTAGTTTGGAAATTGAATTAATATGTCTCCGAATTTTCAGATTCTGCATATCAATTATAAAGCATATTTGAAAAATTAGGAAGTCGATGTTAAGAAGTTATAATAAAGTTCTTGGAAATTTATTCGCTGTTTAAATGTTTTCAAGTTGTACATTGGTGATCCAAGATCCCAAATCATAGCTGTTAAATCTTCGGAATGGCGAAATCATGTGGATATTTCCCCTGCTATCCTTAATTTGCCAGGTTACAAAAACGAGAAGGTCCTGATTAACATGAATAACAAGAGAAAGCTCCATTAGTACCATGCTGGGGCTGATGAAGAAAGCTGTTGTATTTTCTAATTTATTAGTATATTTATGTTATATTATTAAAATTTAGCAATCACACATGATGAAACAGTAGTGTGATGATGTAATCGTGATATTAATATTAGTAGAAGGATTGCGAATTAAGATAGTAAACTGGAAGTTAATAGGAATGGACAAAATTAAAAAAAAAATGTTATTACTTACAGCCACGTGATATTGCGGTTAATTAATTTGGTCGATTAATTATAAAATTCACAAAAAGAGTTTTTTTTTTAATAATCATGTAAAGTTATTATATTATAATTACTGAGTATTAATAGTAAATAATAATAGTGTCGTGATTTCATCTGATATTATAATAAAAATTTAACGTCTCCTCGTCTCCTTCGATTCTTATACTTTAAATCGATTAATCATGACTTATCAATTTATCGATCAAGAAATTTGGGTTTGATCATGTGGATGAGTTAACTATTTTCTTTCTTGGATCTTGTGTCTGGCTGATATCTTTGTGCTCCATCTTTTGTGTGACATTGCTGAGAAGGATAGTAGAAGTCAAAAAAGAACATGAGCGTTTGTATTGGTTGTCGAGTTGTTCATACGTGATTTGAGATTATAGTATGTTCAATTAGTAAAAAAAATGTAGTGTTGATTGTAAAAAAATGTTCCTATAATGTGTTGAATTGTGGATAGGTACTACTTCTGGAAAGTTTCGTTTGATTGGAGATGAACAACGTGAAGTACGGCCGCAATTGAAAAAAATAAATAGTGTGTTCGGCCCTTTGATTCATGATTTATTTCAAGTTGCATACAATTGTTATTATTGTTATATTACGAACTTTGGATGGTAAACGGCCCACGAGACTAATTAGCACGCTAAAACTAAAAAGTTATCCATTTTACTGTAATTGGTATATACTGTTTTACCTTATCAGTTAAGGGTTCATACTTTTATATAAGCAGGATTACGTACGTTTATTATGTCCAATACTTCGCGTCACTAGATGTGATCATGTGATCATAAATTACGTAAACTATAAATATATCCTATAAGTGATTGCTGCGATACAAACTTTTCAACAAACTTTAGCAAATATGTCAGATTCTGACTATATTCCAAACAAAGAGAAACATACCGTAAAAACTACAAAACCGCGTAAACTAGCTAAACCAACGACTAAAGATTCTTTTTCAGATGAAGAAAGATATACTGTAAAGACTACAAAAACGCGTAAAATAACTAAACCATCGACTCTTAAAGACGCTTCGAATGTAATGGTAATAGATTCTTCAGACGAAGAGAAATATGGCGCAAAGGCTACAAAAACGCGTAAACCAACTAAAACAACGACCCTTAAAGAAACTTCTAATATAATGGTATTAGACTCCTCCTCAGACGAAGAAGACGATGAGAAATATACTGTAAACCCTACAAAATCGCGTCAACAACCTAAACAACCGACTCTCACGACCCCTAAAAACACTTTAAATGTATTAGATTCTGACTATTCTTCAGATGAGGAGGAATATACCGTAAAACCTACAAAATCGCGTCAACAACTTAAACAAACGACCCTCACGACACTTAAAGACACTTCAAATGTATTAGATTCTGACTACTCTTTAGATGAAGAGCAATATGCCGTAAAACCTACAAAATCGCGTCAACAACTTAAACAAACGACCCTCACGACCCTTAAAGACACTTCAAATGTATTAGATTCTGACTATTCTCCGGATGAAGAGCAATATACCGCAAAACCTACAAAATCGCGTCAACAACTTAAGCAAACGACCCTCACGACCCTCACGACCCTTAAAGACACTTCAAATGTATTAGATTCTGACTATTCTCTAGATGAAGATGAATATACCATAAAACCTACGAAAATTCGTAAACCAACTGTTAAAAAAGCTTCTTCAAGTAAGGCTCCTTCTAGCAAAGCCTCTTCTAGTAAGACTTCTTCAAGCAAAGCTTCTTCAAGCAAAGTCACTTCTAGCGAAGCCTCCTATAACAAAGCTGCCTCCAACGAAACCTCTTCTAATAATGTCACTTCAGCTAATTCTTCATCAAATGGAGCTTCGACTCAATCAAAAAAACCAGTAGAAGAAGTTTATCAAAAGAAAACACAACTTGAACATATTTTATTAAGACCTGATACTTATGTTGGGTCAGTTCAAGCGTCAACTGAAAAATTATGGGTTTACGACTCGGATAAACGAACAATGGTCTACAGAGAAATTACTTATGTTCCAGGTTTATATAAAATTATAGATGAAATCTTAGTAAATGCTGCTGACAACAAAATTCGTGATCCCTCTATGGACACCATAAAAGTTGATATTGATGTGGAATCTGGCAAGATTTCTATATATAATAATGGTAATGGTATACCCATCGAAATTCACAAAGAAGAAAATGTGTACGTACCAGAACTTATATTTGGCCATCTTTTAACATCTTCTAATTATAATGATAATGAAAAGAAAGTTACTGGGGGTCGAAATGGTTATGGCGCCAAATTGACTAACATTTTTAGCACAGAATTTATTGTTGAAACTGTTGATAGTTCTGCAGGCAAAAAATATCGCCAAGTATTCAAAGATAACATGTCTGTAAAGGAACCTCCAAAGATTTCATCTTACTCAAAAAAAGAGGAATATACGATGATCACTTTCAAGCCAGATTTTCAGAAATTTAATATGTTCAATGAGTTTGATAATGATATTGTAGCACTCTTGAAGAAACGTGTATATGATTTGGCTGGATGTGTAAGAAATGTTAAAGTCTTCTTGAATGGGGAAAGATTGAAAATTAAAAATTTTAAAGAATATTCCCAGATGTATTTGAGTGGAAACAACGATTTTGTCGATTTACAATCATCAATTATTTACGAAGAAGTAAATCAAAGATGGGAAATTGCATTTGTACCATCTCCTGAAGGAACATTTCAGCAAATTAGTTTCGTCAATAGTATTAGTACCTCTAAGGGAGGTACTCATGTTAATTACGTCGCAGACCAGATTGTAGAGAAATTTATGGCAGCAGTCACGAAAAAAGCTAAGGACGTAAAAAATATTAAAAAACATCAAATCAAAAATCATATGTGGCTTTTTATTAATTGTTTGATTGAAAACGCGACCTTCGATTCTCAAACAAAAGAATGTCTAACATTGAAAGCTTCATCGTTTGGTTCAAAATGTAATCCGAGCGAAACATACTTTAATAAATTACTTAAAAGCAACGTAATTGAAAGTATATTGGATGATGTCAAACACAAACAAAGCAAGGAACTAAAGAAAACCGATGGTAGAAAGACAGGTAGAATCATGGGTATTGCTAAACTGGATGATGCAAATAATGCCGGCGGTAAAAAATGTCAAGATTGTACTTTAATCCTTACTGAAGGCGATTCTGCAAAGGCTTTGGCAGTTGCCGGATTTTCTATAGTTGGTCGTGACAATTATGGAGTTTTCCCGCTTCGTGGGAAATTATTAAATGTTAGGGATGGTACACATAACCAGATTATGAATAATGCGGAAATACAACATATAAAACAAATTCTCGGACTGAAACAAGGAAAAGTGTATACTTCAACAGGAGAATTACGTTACGGTCATCTCATGATAATGACTGATCAAGATCACGATGGAAGCCATATAAAAGGATTAATTATCAACTTCTTGGATTATTTCTTTCCGTCATTGCTTAAAGTTCCAGGTTTCCTAATGGAATTCATAACGCCTATTGTAAAGTGTACAAGAGGTAACACTAAAAAATCGTTCTTTACTTTGCCGGAATTCGCTAGTTGGTTGGAAAATAATGATAACGGTAAAGGCTGGAAAATTAAGTATTACAAAGGTCTCGGTACGAGTACTGCTGAAGAAGCTAAAGAATATTTTAAAGATCTAAGAACACATAAAAAACCATTCAAAACAATTCAAGAAGGTGAACGTGAATTGATTGACATGGCTTTCAACAAGAAGAAAGCCGATGATCGGAAGGAATGGTTAAGAAATTATGAACCTGGAACTTACATGAATCACAATGTTAAAGAAATCACGATAACTGATTTTATAAACAAAGAATTGATATTATTCAGTCGAGCTGATAACGAAAGGTCTATACCGAGTGTCCTTGATGGTTTTAAACCTGGCCAAAGGAAAGTTCTTTACACTTGTATTAAGAATAAATATAAGAATGAAATAAAAGTCTCGGCATTAGCTGGTGCAGTTCTAGCTGATGCAGCATATCATCATGGTGATTCTAGTCTTCAAGGTACTATCATTGCAATGGCTCATGATTTTGTCGGTTCAAACAATATCAGCATTCTTCACGGAGTGGGTCAATTTGGTACAAGAAGTCAAGTAAGTTTTTATATTTTTTAAAAAATCTAAATATGAAATAATCTGATATTTTTAGTTATGTCACTATAATCACAACAGGGTGGTAAAGATGCAGCTAGTGCACGTTATATTAGCATTGCAGTTCCCAAATTGGCTAGAATGTTATTTCACCCTCAAGACGACGTTTTACTTACCTATTGTAACGATGATGGTCAAATCGTTGAACCTGAATGGTATTTACCTATTATACCCATGATTCTCGTTAATGGTTCAGAGGGTATCGGAACCGGTTAGTTTACAATTATTTTAATACAAAAGTTCTATTGTTATAGTTAATTAATATATTATTATTATTATTAGGTTGGAGTACATATATTCCAAATTATAATCCACAAGATATCGTCAATAACTTGAAACTAATGATTGATGGTAAAGAACCAGTTCCCATGCACCCTTGGTACCGTGGTTTTCGGGGTAGTACTGAACAGGCAGGCAAAGACAAATATAAAGTTAGCGGTATAATCGAGCTGGTAAATAACGGAACAGAAGTTAGGATTACCGAATTGCCTGTTCGTTCTTGGACACAAAATTATAAAGAACAACTGGAACAATGGATTTCGGGAACAGAAAAAGTACCCGCTTGGATAATTGTATGTTATATAATATAATACATAGATAATTCCTTATATGTAATATCTTTAAATTCTTAAATTTACATTTTATTAATTTATATATAATAACTTAGGGATACAAAGAGAATCACACGATAACTAACGTCGATTTTACGGTTCAATTAACCGAAGAAAAATTAAATAACGCTTTAGAAGAAGGACTTGAAAAGAAGTTCAAACTTAGTACTAACATAAACACTTCAAACATGGTATGCTTTGATGGAAAAGGAAGAATTAAAAAATATAGTTCAGCTGAAGAGATTCTCCTAGAGTTCTATGATTACAGACTAGAGTATTATTTTAAAAGAAAGGATCATATGCTGAAGGTATTAGAACTCGAAGTTAATCAACTCAGAAATAAGGCCAGATTTATTCAAATGAAGATAGAACATAAGCTCGAATTTGAAGGGTTTCGTAAAGCAGAAATCATTAAGTTACTCGAGTCTGAAGGGTTTGAAAGATTTAGAAATGCCAAGGAAGAGAAAAGTGATGATGAAGATCAAACCGACAATGGTGGTGATGGATATAATTATTTAATGAATACTAAATCCTGGAGTTTTTGTAAGGAAGAAGCACAAAAACTCATGGACAAAAAAACCGAGAAAGAAAAGGAACTTGCTATACTTCGAAAGAAATCTCCACAAGAAATTTGGGAAGAAGATCTAGATGTGTTTTTGGATGAATGGAACGTAAGTTATCAAAACTTTAAATATACATATTCTACATTCGTGAAGTAATATTACAACTAACTATTAACTTATTTTATAAAAAAAGGAATTATTAAACAGTGATCGCAAAAGATAGATAATATATTAGAAGTTATATGAAATTATAAAGTGTTATTGACCACTTTATTATGATTTCGCATACAGAATGATTTTTCGTTGGTATTATTATCAATTTCCAAAGATACAATTAATGATTTTCGGTTGATTAGAATTTCTTTCGATAAATAATTTCCTATTTTAAATCAAATTCATGTAATAAACTAAATTTTTAACAAATCATAACTATCTTTAATTATTACTTGATATAAATATCCGTTAACAATCGGCTAAATTTTGTCCATAAAAAGTACTGTTTCTATTATCTTTCATTATTCTTATTATACTGTATTACTACGTCGATTTTTATTAAGACTTTGGTAGCAATAAATTATTTTCTTTTAAAATAATATGAAAGCCAAAATAAAAAAGTCATCCAAAAACAAGAAACCTCAAAAACAACTGAATTCGATACAAGTAAACATGATAGAAATAATTTTACGAACTTCCTTGAAAATCACTCGGGACGTGATCCTTTATCAATAATATCTAATAACTTTTGCACACAAACAGATTTAAATTGCTAATTAATATTAATATCTTAATTATCTTATGGTAAATAGTTCATCCAAAACAGAATTAGTTAAAGTACTTTTTCTCCAGTATCACTAACAACCAATCAACAAACGCGAAATATAGATCATATCAGATATAGGTTAAATTTTGCAGTTTTGTCATTTTTTATTATCTCGCCGTTAACAAAATAAATTGTTCATGATAAGAATTTACTTATCATAGCAACAATAAAGAAGTTATAAAATTTAATATGGTAAAAAATTCCCGCTTATTATATTTTAAGAACGTGAACAACAAAATTATTATAATAGCTGGCATTACGATTTTTAGAAATATCAATATTAAATGCCAAATTACATGGAATGTCTATATTTTAACATCGTATACTAATTTAGAGCTACGCCGTCAATTATCTCCCCTGAATTGAACTTTGACGATAAAAAGCAGCTGGTTCTTTAATGTCGTATTTAACCTATAATGATTAAAGAATTTTCAGATTTTTCAATATCAATTCTAACACATATTAAAATGATAAAAGTTCTTTGGGAATTTACACGCTATTTTAAATGTTTCTGTACAGGTTGCATTCGAAGTGCAACGTTTATCCAATACAATGTATTTAATTAAATGATGTGGCTAAAAAAAAACTCTTCACCCACGAGAAAAAAAATTGTTGCGCAGTATTTTATTTTCACGTGTCTGTTATTTTAGAAAAAATTTGTACGACAGTTGATCTTTCTTACATTCCTCAATTTCTGACAAAAAATTCACTTCTTTTCGGTCAACTTGTGAATCTATTTTTTTTTCATAAGCAGCTAAATAACATGTCAATTGATAATATTGCTGTTATTATTATAAGTCTCTCCAGAGAGACTAAAAATTAGGGATGAAGAAGTGGAAAATTACGTAGATTTTGCAAAAAAAAAAAAATTATATATTGTTTAAATTTTTGAAAAGACTATCAAAGAAGTCTGTTTCTGGTATGTTTCTACGATTTATCTGTGCTATCTTACATCTCCAATAGTAATGAATAATTACTTATTCTTGTGCATTCCATTCCTGCTTCTTTTAGTCAAAAAACACATTAAAATTACTATAGAATAATTCGTTTCTGCTAAGTGAGTTAAAATAAAATTAGTCAACGCAAGTAATATGCAACCTGAATAATCATTTTGTGTTAAATATAAACTCACCACAATGATGAAATCTTGTTGAATGGTTTGGATGCTTCAAGAAAAGTGGTAGTTAATAGCCAATTCCTTAATTTTCCAAGGGCGCTTCTCAACTTATGGGTGCAGATGATCGAGGCTCTGAAATAACCATTCTGATCATTCATTCATACTTGTTAGAATTTTTATAATATTTATCATTGGCTATTTCCGGAAATCCGGGAACTGGAAACATATTTTAGGTTTTACTTACTTCTTTCTGCTTTAATTGCAAGAAGCACTTTTCCTTATAATAAGAAATAATACAGTAGATTATATGAAGAACTTAATGTCCAAGTATGTAAAATTAGCAATACCGTCACGAGATTAGAAAGTTTAGCTAGAGACGTTGGCGTGTTGTTCAACACTTGCCGATGCAAATTTGCAAAACAACACAAGACGGTTGTATACCTGTATACCACAAAATTCGACAGATTTCTGATTTTATTTAGCGATGACGTATTTTCTCCAATAAAAGGTATCATATTCATGATTTGTGGATTATCCGGAAAACAAAGAAGTTTGGTATATTGTGGATGGTGCAAAACCACATTTATGATTTTAATAATATCAAAACAATTGTAAGATTATGCCGGAATGGTCTTGGAAGAAATTGATAGAAGTACGTATAGAAATGTGCTTTCAAAGATCTTTCTAGAGAATGGTTCAGAAATTATGAGGGATTTACTGCTATTATCATGTGATTATTGATTAAAAATTAAAAAAGAAAAAAAAAAGGAGAAATTGGAGGACCTGAGTATCGATCTCAGTACCTCTCGCACAACAGGCCCGATAGGCTTGCTAAGCGAGCGCTCTACCATCTGAGCTAGACCCCCCAAGTTGGTTGTGTAGAAGCAAAATTTCACCCCTTTATAACCATATTTCTCGGTATACCTTATTTATGCTCACAATAATGGTCGGCAATATTTACCTTTTTATTCGGTCAACTCCCGAGTTTGCATCTGACTATGTCTCTAAAGGAGTAATAATAAATTCGCAAAGTTTTACAAGGATCAATTGCTGAATATTGCGAAAACGACTTGCTCATAATAGGAATAGATTATAAATTTTGTTAATTCTGAAACAAAACAGAAGGTTTCAAACGGAAGGCCCCAAAGCGAGTGGTCTTTAACAATACTGTACATAAAAAAAAAAAAAATAAATTTAGGATTTCTATACATAGATTTTATTGCAGTCATACGAAATAGTGATATGAAAAATATCAATAAAATCCCATACAATGTCAGTACGGAAAAGAGAACTAATACCACCATGCAGAAGCCGCCTAGAGTTGTCGGAGATGATAAAACAATTGAAAGATTATCCTCATGATTCATTTCAAGCAAACATTTTTTAGTAATTAAAGCTCATCAGACGTAATTAAAATGAACAAGACTTTCGTAATTCTTGATAGAAATTGTACCTATTCGGGGATTACATATATAAACAAACAACAAATTTAATTGTCGTAGCTAAAAATTAATATTTTCCAACTCTTAGTTTTACATCGCCATTGTGATATCTTTAAATTAATCGTTAGATAAATTTTGAGTGAGCTCTAATTCATGTTGATTGATATTTCCGTATGATTTCAAGTGTAATAACTAGAAATAAGGCGCATTATTTAGATGAATATAAATTTGGAAACAAAAGAACAACCTTGCATAAAAAAAAAAAAAAAATTCATATGATAGCATCATCAGAATACGCCCTATTATGGAAATATTTTCACAGAGATAAAAAGTCTTTATTAAATATAATTATCTAATGCATATACCGATCAAATGATAATAATGACAAAAATAACAATAAAGACAATTACTGAACAATTAGTATATCTAAAGTTATCAGATGATAATCTCTTTTCAATAATTTGAAATATTTCATATTCTTCTATTTCAAACCTTTCTATATCAATAATTTTCTTCTCATAAGAATGTCGTTTGCAGTCACCAGTATCACCATTAACAAATAAATCCTTCAAACCAAAACATGGTCCCATTTTTTTATTACAATAAATGGCTTCATTTTCAGAAGATATTCTGCTTAATATCGGAATGGCTCTATTGGTTATTGAAAATATAAAACTATTTGATGTTTTATATATAACATTTTTATCATAAGATAATAAATAACTCGTTTCATTATACTTATTAGTGTCATTCCAACCCAATGGATTATATCCACCAATTATCTCTCTTGAATCACGAACTTTAATTATTACAATGGTTGATCCCTTGTTATCACAATATTCATGGAATTTACAAACATCAAATCCTTCACGACTTGAACGATAAATTAATTTAAATTCGAAAGGTATTTCTTGAATACGATAAGGTTTTTCTTGTTTTCTATCAATCCAACTTGATATTAATGCCGCATCTTTCGCTTTAATAATATTTGAATCTAAAGGATAATTTGACGCTCTTAATGGTACTTCATTAAAAGGATGATCGGACTTTGAATCAAAGAAATAATTAATAATTTTGTCATCAAGTTTTTCAGGAATTACATTTCTAAATTGAGTTCGGGTTTGAATATAATCTTCAGGTGACATATGAAAGAAACGAATATGAGGAATACAATTTCGTAGTGTACTTTCTAATTTCATAAAATCTAATGGTAACCATCTAGATAAATCATCATCTAAAGTATAATCTGTATTTTCAATTCCCCATTTAATTAAATATTCCCAAATTTCAATCTCTTCTAATTTGAGATCATCACGTTTTAAAAGTTGAATCAAAATGTCCTCTTTAACTTTTAAAAAATATTTAGATTCAAAAAGAATTTTCGGATGGTTACATACCCAATCAAGGGAATATTTACTTAAATTAGGAAATTGATCATGTTGAAAACTAATAAAATCTTTTGGAAATTTCCATGCCAATTCATTTTGATGTAAATGGGTTTCAAGTTGTTCAACAACTTTTGGTAATCCGAAATCTTTTGCTGCGACAATAATATCAACAAGACTATTATTATTTATAGCAAGAATTCCGGTATAAATATATCTATATAAAATAATTACGTTAGTTAATAGCATGAAACAATTACAGATTAATATGTATAAATATTATATTAAAGTTATATTTACTTTAAAAGAACTTCAAATATTAAAGGTGAAACATTATCTTTCTTGAAAGTAATAATTCCATCTTCATATTCTGTTTCGCGAAATGCTCCATAAAAAATTTTTGTCCTAGAACATAAAATAATTGAGTGCGCCCTAAATTCTTTTTTTTGTGAATTTTGACTAATTTTAATTTTTACATTATAACCGACTGGATTTTTAAGTAAATTTGAAAAATCTCTAGAAATATGTGATGAATGATTGTAATTCATTTTTTGTAAATTTTTTCACAAACGAAAAATGTACGCAAATATTTATATATATATATATAATTTATAATTTGTATACAATATAATAATTTAAAAACTAAACTTGATTTTAAACCCGTTTAAACAATGCAATTTATGTCATATCGCGCATTTACTGCAGTAAGGTAGGCTGCACCTAGTTTTTCCCAATTCTATATAGTCAGACCTGATATATAATAATAACGATATTTCCCACTATTATGAGAGAACATATACCGATATTTTCCAATGATTTTCATATGGGTCCCAAACCATATAATTATATCGGAGTTTGACTGTGTAATAACGGTAGTTTATGAACTGCTAGATTTAACAGATAAAAATATAATTCGAAAAATTAACCAAAATAAAATCAACTTAAGATGAAAGTATGATTTTGACTCACTTCTACTATCAATAATTTGAAATACTTCATATTCTTCTATTTTAAAATTTTCTCTATTAATAATTTTCTTCTCGTAAGAACGTCGTTTACTTTTACCAACAATATTATTAAGTGGAGAATCATTCTGGATCCACAAATCTCGTAATCCAAAGCATGGTCCTTTATTTTTACACCAGATGATTGAAGAGACTCGACTTAATGTAGGAATCGCTCGATTTGTTAGTGAAAATATAAAACTATTTGATGTTTTACATTCATATTCATTATAAAAGTCATGATTATATTTAGCACTACGCCAATCCAATTGATTATAACCGCCAATTATTTCATTCGTATCTTGAACCTTAATGATGACAACAGTTGGTCCCTTATTATCACAACAATCATGAAAGTTTTTAACATCAGATCCTTCCCGACTAGCACGGCTAGCACGATAAATAAGCTTAAATTCATAAGGTAAATCGTTAAAATGATATGGTTCTCCTTGCTTCTTATCAATCCAACTTGCTATAAAAGCAGCATCTTTAGCATTTATAATCTTAGATTCCAAAGGATACGCTAATATTCTTAATGGCAAAACATTATTTGAAGGTTCAGGATTAGGAGGGTTAGGAGGGTTAGGAGGGTTAAGATTTAAGAAATATAGAATAATTTCATCATCGAGTCCTTGTGGAAGAATATTCTTAAAATCAGTTCTAACTTTTTTGTAATCGTTAGAGGACATTTGAAAGAAACGAACATGAGGAAGACAATTATGAAGAGTTTTTTCTAAATCCATAAATTTCATTGGCGCCCATTTAGTTAAATCGTCATCTAAAATAGAATCGGTATTTTTGATTCCCCAATTAATTACATATTTCCATATTTCAATTTCTTTTAATTCAAGGTAATCGCATTTTAGAAGTTGAATAAGTATAGTTTCATCCATTCTTAAGAAATCTTCTGATTCAAAAATAATTTTAGGATTTCTACAAATGAATCCTAATGCAAAATTATATAATTTAGGAAATTGTTTCTGTTGATGAATTTTAATAAAATCTTTCGGAAATTGCCAATCAGATTCATTTTGAAGTAATTGTTTTTCGAGTTGTTGAACAATGTCACGTAATTCAAGTTCATCTGCTGCGATAATAACATCCACAAGGTTAAGTTTATTAACTTTATTATCAAAAGAAATTAATCCCGTATAGATATATCTAATTATAAAATTGAAATAAATAAATTTATACATGATTAAATTTATAATTCATACATACTAATCACCTTTTAATAATATTAAAACTTACTTTAAAAGAATTTCAAATATCGAAGGTGATATATTAGGTTGTTTGAAAATAATAGGTTTTTCTTCGCTATTTGCCCAATAATTTAAAAATGCTTTTTGAAAATAATTTGACCTAGCGGATAAGATGATAGAATGTGCTTCAAATTCTCTAACATTTGGTGTTCTGCCAACTTCAATTTTCACATTATAATCTTCGGAATTTTCAAATAAATTTAAAAAATCTTCAAGTAAATCCGATGTGTGATCGTATTCCATTTTTTATAATTGCTTGAATTAAAGCGAGCTGAAAAAAAAAATTCTAATAATAAGATAATATACAAGAAAAAAATTCTTTAAAAGATATGAGGGGTGCATATAATCTTTATTACGTTTTCTGAAGATGATCATTCCTTTTAGCTTCTACGGTTGAATCGAGGTTGTGGTTGGCTCTGATACAATTGTATCGCTCTCTTATTAATTGCATTTACAACATGTGAAGTTATGTCAACTTGTTTTCAAACAGGTAAATATAATGCACGAGAATATGAATGAAAACGAAATCGAATGCAAAATTTCATTTGGCGTAACTTTTAAAATGTATCACGTGCTCTAAATTTATGGAGTGTGGTGTATTAGTTACTGCGTCATAGATTAATAAGCAACTGCGCCATATGGTAATATCTATGTCAATTTCACGGAGTCGCAGGAATATCCCGATTTAGAAAAACTAGATATAATTAAAGATTGGAAGATTAGGAGATTAGATTTAATATGTACTGGAATTATTCTTAACGAATCTTTTTAATCCTATTTTGACAATAAATTTCAAAAAAAAAAACTCAATAAAATTAACAAAATTTTTTTTTTTTTTTTTGTTTATATCAAATATATCAAATTTATCGAATTTAACCCAAATACAATAACATTAATAAAACTGAATGTCGATCGTTTGGTGATTCATAAATACACTATATAAGGTGTGAGATTTTTCATTTCATGACCATTTTTTTTTTATACATTTGCATAAAATGGACCGATTAAGAACACCATCGTTACCATTACCAATAAATCCATCTTCATTTTTATTGCACACACTGCTTCCAATATTTTTAGTACTAACGACTTTCGGACCTGGTTACCAAACGATTTCTTCTTTTGCTATTATCTATTTTCCTCTTTCTGTGTATTACATAAGAACATGCACACGATGGTGGTGGATATTTTTATTTTATATAATGAATAGTATAGGATTTATGTTGGCATATATGAATACAATGAATTTAGGTGATGATTTAAGAAGCTATAAAGGAATAACTTTTGGTATCGGATTAATTGTAAGCTTGATAATTCTCATACCATACGTCTTTGATAGAATTGCTCAAAGCAAATTTTCAAGTGATGGATGGGCTAGAATTCTGATCTTCCCTTGTGTTTGGACTGGAATATGGACTATTTTTTTATTTTCGTGGCCATTAGGTGATTGGGGAAATTATGCGTAAGTTTAATATCATTTTCAATATTTGTTTTTTCTTTTCTTTTTCCTTTTCTCCCCCTTTTTTATGAAAGAACCAATTTTCTTTTTTACTTCTTTGTAGATTTACTTTATTAAATTACGAAGAGATTATGCAGTTGGCATCATTTGCAGGATTAGGAGGAATAAATTTTATATTGTCATGGAGTGGTCCGGTAGGAAGTGATATAATATATTATCACGTGACAAAGAATCAAAATTCATCTACGGCAACAACGAGCACTGGTTCTATTGTAGTTGATGAAGTATCAATTGAAGATAACAGCACTGACACTGTATTAAGACATCCACCTACTCGAACTCCGAAAAGGAGTTTAACATTACCAACATTTATTAATTCATTGAGTATTTATATTTTTGTGTTGTTTTTGGTTATCACTTACGGTAGCATTAGATTAAATACTAGTTTTATACCGTTTTATCAAAAAAGTATTAAAGAAACTTTTCCTCAAGAATTGGTTAATTTTGGCTGTGTTATAGGAAATTCCGATAATCAAATAGATGATTATATGAGTTACGTAAACCTAACCCAAAATTTGGCAATTTCAGGTAACAAAATTATTCTTTGGTCAGAAGGAGTGGCCGGAATATTCAATGAAGCGGATCTCAACTCATTATACGAATCAATTAGAAATATCAGCATATCTTATAATGTATACATTGGTTTTACTTACCTTGATGCTACTAACCACCCTAATACTACTATATATAATAAACAAGTAGTGATCAATAATAAAGGTGATGTGGTTATAGATTATAAGAAAAGTAATTTAGTACCTTTTGTAGAAGCTAATTTTATAACTAAGGGTAATAATAAGTTGCAAACTTTCCAAAGTGAGGATTTTGGAATTATTGGATCCGCCATTTGCTTTGATTTTGATTTTCCTAAATTAATTGGTCAAGCACCTTCAAAGAAAGTTAATTTAATGTTGGATTCTAGTTATACTTGGGTAAGTTAATTTATTAAAATTTCTTCCTTTTATTGTTATTATTTAGCTCGCTAACGAGGAAAAATTTTAATAATTAAATTCTTAATCTATGTGAATATAATTTATAGGGTAAGTACCGTATAATAAATTTATATTAAATATTTTTTTTTTAAAAAAAAAAAATTTTTATACATAAAATAATTTTTTTGGCCCAAAATTGAACTTCTTTATTGTACAGGCCCGGTTGGACCATTACATGCACGTATGAATTCGATACGTTCAATAGAAAATGGATTTACAATATTTCGTTGTAATTCGGATGGAGTTTCAGGAATATGGAATCAATATGGACATCCATTACATTTCATTCCAACAGTGAATACAAACACGACTACTTTTCAAGTTCCAATCAACGTGGTAAAGAATAGAGTTAAAACTGTTTATTCTGTATTTGGTGAAACTTTTGGATGGATTTGTGTCGGTGGTATCGGTATTTATTTGATTGTTATAGTTGTAGCGATAAAAGGCAGTGATCAATGGAAAGCTAGAATTATTCATTGGTCATAAAAAAGACTTTGTTTACCTTATTTAAGAATATCCATGCTGCGGTGATAATCATTTGTCAATCGGAGTGGTAAAAATATTTCCGTTTACTTAAACCAAAATTATCCTTATTTTGGTATCGTAAACCTGTTTATCTTATCATAACTAATTAATTAGGAATACTATCTCTTTTTCTAGTAACATGCTTTTGCCTTTATTTTAATTATTCATAAAATGTTTAAATGTATTTATAAACTTTATATAATTTTTAAACGTAAACGAAAAAAGTCAACGTATAAAAATAGTAAAGAGATTAGAATGTTCGATAAAAATTTATTAAATTCAATATCATCTACCCAAGATTCTTATGATATTATAGGTAAAAAATTACCAGTCAAAGAATTAACCCCTATTAAAAATTCAAATGATAATAACCCCTTTAGAGATAAGGAATTTTTAAGTGAAATTTATAATCAAAATTATAAAGAATTTCATGTTTACAGTTCCATTCTCTCGAAAGATATTAAATCAAAAATATTTTTATAATGCATTGTCTAATTTTACTAATGATAATGATTTGAAAAGTACTGAAAAATATATGATAAAAGAAAATCAAATAGAATTACCTGAGATTAATCCAACAATATTTGAAGTTATTTTTGAGTAAGTATGATCATAAAAAAACTTACTTTACATTTACTACTTTATGTTTTTAATAAATAAATCTTATATATATTCTTTTTTTATTTTTTAATAGGTTGTTTATAATGGAAATTTGGATATTAATAATTTCACTGCTCAAGAAATCATGTCGCTTTTATTTGCAAGTTCTTATCTTGACCTAAAAAATCTTACTTCTTGTCTTTTTACAACCCATTTCACTGAAATTATTCATGCATTAAATACTTCTTATTCTACAATTAATCACTTTAATGAAACAATTTATTCACAAAAGATTGACCAAAGAAGATATATAATCAATCATTTATATTTGGAATATTTTTCAGTAATATTTGGTTCAAATTATTATTTATCATTTCATAAAAATTTGATTTTATAATATTTTATCACTGGCATCACACTCCACCATGTTTTCACTGTTTATATTTATCTGAGGAACTTAGTTTTTTTTTGCCTCACAAAATTATTTTTTTTACTTCTCTTTAAATGTCACAGTCACATGGGGGTGGAATTTTAATTATAAAAGTGTTGGTGATACTGGGGTAAATGATTTGACATATAGTCCACATCTTTTCCAGTAATACCACCAAATTTTCACCTTTACATAGTAAATTATATATAATATAAACTAAATGAATTACGGTATCCCAAATTATAATTATAACATCCCAAAATAATTTGGGCAGCATGTATAGTTATAATGTTAATATTATAGAATTTGCATATTCAATAATAAAAATTACAAAAAAAGTCAGATATTAAAAAGTTCATTATCAATTGGTATTATCAATATTTATAATATCAAATGTTTTAAATATTTGCTTCAAGAGTTTAAAAGTATATATATTAGATGATCAAGTATAAAATATTGATATTGATACTATATTTTTCAGAAGAAAAATATATAGATAAGTTTTTTTTAAATTGCAAAAAAGATTTTAAAGTATTTAGAAAAACTTGATAATATTTGATAATTTAAATAAAGAAGTGTTTAAATAAAAATTAAATTAATCTTTTATTACCTTATCAAATGATTTTATTTATATTATTAACTTTTTTTTCAATTTCTGCTTTTATATCAAAATAATATATTTATACAATTTCCAACAAAACTGAATTTAATATATATGTTTAGATACTAATACTTAGAAATGCTTTTTTTGGAAAAGTTGATTTGAAATTAAAATATAAAGAAGTGACATTCAGATTATATAATAAATTGAAAGAAATTTTGAATATTATTACTTCAAATTAGATGGAAAAGAATTTCTCAAATCATTAAATATTAAAATTTTAGTATAGAAAGATGGAGCAATAAAATAATAATAAATATATAGAGCAAAAGAATAGAAAACCTATAGGAATTAAAGTATTATTCTAAAATAATATATATAAGATATAAAATTAGATGCAATTGTAACATACAATATACTTGCAGGTTAAAAATATAAGCTGTTGATCTTATAAATATTTAAAAAATAATTCCTTATTCATAAAATTTAAATAAAAAAAGATGTTTTCTAATCTGCACTTTACTGAATACAAATGCAGTGAGTATAAAGTATAAAATTATAATTGCTAAAAAAGTATAATACTTGAATATTATTTTATTAATGTGATTAAGAGCTTAATATGTAAAAAATAAATGCAAAGAAAGTTAAAAAAAATAATGTATATATATTTAGAACTCCAGATATCTCCAAAACAGATCATAAGTCAAACTTTTGGCAAATTGGTTCATTTTTTAAGAGTTCAAAAAGATTTAAAGGACCTGATTATGAATTTTGTGAAACTATACAGGTAAGAAGAAAGAAGAGTACAAAAAATGCTTGAATAAATTTAAAAAATGTATTTTATATAGAATAAACTGAAAAATAATTACATCTTTCAGCTCAGAGGAAATAACACTAATATTACCCAATTTTTAATCAATAATAGTAATCACTATTTGGAACATATGAGCAGTTTTATGAACTTTTGCTTTTCAATCATCAGAAAAAATGAATTTAGAAACACAAATAATTTATTTGATAAATATTTGAAATTCTTAGTAAAAAATTTTATAAAAATATAACTGAATCAGAAGTTATACTTATCAGTTATGAATGTAATATTCTCCAAAAATATGCCAAAACAAGTGATAAAATTCATGATGGATATGTCAGTTCGTTATCATATGAATGTAAAAGGTTAAATAATAGAGTTAAAATTGAAAATTACTGATACTAATGCAGGCATTAAAAGCAAAGTATGTCCTAATCAAAGAATAATTGGAATACTGCAATCATTCTTTGAAAAACTGTGCAGAATTAATATCTTAGCAGATTATGAGTTGACAATTGAAGTTCCATTAAAAACCTATCAATTTGTATATATGAATCCTTCTTCTTTTAAATCAAATCATGATCAAGAAAATTTGTTCTAAATACCAATATGTGAAAAAACAAATGACTCAATATTGAGTTGCAATAATAGATAAATATTAATTAATATTTTTGAAAGTAAATCTAATTGACACAATATTACAACTTTTATTGATTATAAACAACTTATGGATACAGATTCAAAAAATTTAACCTTTTAAATAGCAAATGTTGCAAAATATTACTTTGATTATATAATTATTATTGAAAAGGTTAATTATGAGTGGATGTATTTTTCTGTGAAAAGATGAGAATCAGTTGTTATACCCACTTAAAGATTTCCTTAAAGCACTGCAAAAATATATGAAAAATTAAGATCATCTTATATGAATTATGAAAATAAAAACATATATAAATATATTATAAGACCTAATGTATATATATATGTAAACAATATTATAGTAATATGTATTTGATTTTCAGGATTTACTTAATCTTTTGTATTATTTCTTTTAGGTATATATACTTATTTTTTTTTTTTTTTTTTTAAAACTTCATCCAGCACAACCTTAAATGTAGAAGAGTATGAATCGATTCTGGATTAGAAGAATTATCATTTGTATACGATATCAACAATTATAGATTTTCTTAAAAAAAAAATATTTCATATTATATAAAATATTGGCTATATTATTCATCATATAATGGACTGCTAGATTTATTAATGTATTTTNCTTAAAAAAAAAATATTTCATATTATATAAAATATTGGCTATATTATTCATCATATAATGGACTGCTAGATTTATTAATGTATTTTCATTGCACTGCAAAGGTGGTTGACCTATTTTTTGTATTTTTTGTAGTATGGTATATCTATATTGTATAAATTTAAGTGTCATAATTAATAAACTTTAATTTAAAAAAAAAAACAAATTTTCTATTTATCACTACTGGTAATCATCACCAGTGTTACATGTTCATAATATTACATAATTAATATTTATTTCAAAATTAAATAATTATATATATTATAATTAAAAGCAATATTAAACTACACTTTAACATAAATTATTTTGCTTATATACAATGTCTAATTTAAATGCTACTATTTTCTTTATCAGTATTGTGTTTTGCATAACTGCAAATATTATGACCTTTACCTAAATAATAACTACAAGTCCTAAGTACAACTGAAGGTTAAATAGTAGTATTAGCTTCTGTTAATGATTTAAATCATTTTAGAGGTCATTCCTTTGGCTTATGGTATTTTGGATTAGATACTTTAGTAAGGTTATATCTAAAATTCAAATCAGTTAAAAGTCACTGATAATTATTACTATTTGATACAATTTTAGCACCAATAGCTTTATCATTCAAATGTAATACAGTACATACAACTTAGTCCCAACAAAAAAATTTTTAAGCGGCCAAATTTTTTATATTATGTAATACTTAATCCTGTAATTTTATTGGTCAGATTTATTTAATTTAAGTTATAATTCTTAATTTTAACCAGAATTATACATAATTTTAGCCAAATTTACATAATTAATAATTAAACGAAAGTAATTTTGGCCAGAATTACATGTAATTCTGGTCAGAATAAAATGGCCAAATATTTAATTTAATAGTAAAATATTTCAACTTTGAATTGCTACTACTTTATTAAAAAATACTTTATAGAAAATTTAAAATCATAGTTTAATTAAACTTAATCTGATTTATCATTATACGTTTATACTTTATGTTTATCTTTTTTTTTGAATGAATAGTAGTGATTTAAATTTCATCAAATTTAATTGCTGGGACTAAGTTGTATGCACTGTAGGAAGTTATAAAATTTTTCAATATCTAATCCAATAGTATTATGAAATTTCATATTAAATCGTGTAAACCTCATAAGTATTATATTTAAAATATATTTAATTTAAAAATTGCAAAATACTTATAATATATTTTAATATATCTAAAATATACTTAAAATTATCTTAAAATATATGTCTAATATATTTATTTTGCCCATATACTTAAAATATATTTAAAATATATTTAAATTAAAATTTAAGTATATTATAAGACTATTATAGATATATTTTTATGAGTGAATTTATTTACCACACCCTGCATTACAACGCATCCTTCCTTTTTTGTAAATTGTTTATGTCGATCTTTAGTTTATACACCGCACCCCCTTAAAATGGCAAATGATAAACATACAAATATATATAAATTTGTAACGCAGGGTGCGGTAAATACATTATTTCTATTTAAAATATACTTAAAATATATTATGAAATATAATAATTCTTAAAACTCTTTCCACTGATCGTTCAGTCACAAATTTCGCACTAGTAGTTTGAAGAAATATTTTTTGTTTATTATCATTTAAGTCATAGAAAATATTGTTTTTTCGTTATAGAATTTGGGAAGAGTAATATAGAAGGGGTAGAATTTACCCAACCTTCAGGAAGTAGCACTTCAGCTGCTTTGATGAGTTCTTCGATAGCTCAGCAACCTATACAGACGAATAGTAATATTAACATAGGGCTGGATGCCTCTATGCATGCTCAAATCAACGCAAGTTACCCTGGTCAGAATACAACTTCTAAAAAAGTGAAGAAAGATGACAGTTGGACTATTATTAAAAAGACTCAACGTTTTAGTATTTTCATTCTGCAAGATAGTCTTCCAGGCAATAATATTATTACTAAGAAAAATTTTGTATATAGAAAAATTTCAGATGTGCTTAGGCTAATTTCATTGGCACCAACTTCCATTAAAGGTATTAAGGTAATTTAAGCAACATATGAAACGGAAGCACAAGCGGCTGAAGTTTGTGCCAAGAAAATTGCAAATGATAATGATATAAGATTTGCTAAATTGGAAGTAATCAACAATCAGCAACATGATAATCTTAACGATTATGAAATTAAAATCTGGGATGTTCCACTAGATGTGAATAAGCAGATGTTAGAAGTATATTTGAAAAGTTTTGGACCAATTAAAACCCTCAAATTTAATGTTAAAAATTTATACTATGAAGTAATAGTTAGATTTAACGGCAAACAAGTGGAAGAAAAATTTAAAGACTTATGATCATTGAGATTTTGCAAGTATGTGTTTAGGATTTTTCCATCTAACTTAACCAAGGACGAAAGGAATTTACGTTTTAAATATGAGTTGAAATTAGCTAATTTACCTGTAAGTACATACGCTGCAGATTTGAAAGATATTATCATACAAATAAAGGCAAAATCATGTTTCGTACCTAAGAATAGGTTTTCAAAAAATTATGAGAAAGAAAGGTTTGCATTTGTCTTTTTTGATAATGAGAATGACTTTAATAATGCC